TGCGGGACGCCGCTCCTATCAAATGAAGAAGTGCAGAGTATGATCCGGGAGCTGCGCGCGGAGCGTGGACAGGAGAAGATGCGGGCGCACAATGAAAGTGTCCACCGGGAGGGTGGGCCAGGGCCGACTCCCGTGGGAAACAGCAAGCTTGACGCCGCCAAGGCGCACCGTGATAAGCTACTTCAGTTCCAGGCGCAGAACGCCAAACGCACGCGGGTCGTCGACGAGGCTGCCGATTTCGAAACGCCGAATGTGGCGTCTACGCTGTGGATGAGCCCGGCCCAGCGGGCGTTGGCACTGAAGAAACAGCAGCGGATACTCCGAGAGATGGAGGAACAGGCGCGGCCAGAGTGGGAGAAGAAGAAGACTGTCATGAGTTTGGATATCAAAGGAGGTCGCGTGACCCGAGTGTATCAATCTGCCGCACCTGCGCAGTCGAGCTCGGCCGCGGAGGAGAAAGAGGAGGACGTCGAGGATGTGTCGCATGAAGAGTCGAAACCAAGTGGCGGTGAAGCTTTCAGTCGGAACCCGTTACTCGCAGCTGGCGGGCTGCTACGACCTGTTTGGAAGGCTGCGGAAGACAAGCAAGAAGGGACGGCTACAAAAGAACGCAAGCAGACATGGCGGCGTGTCCAGGACGACAATGATGACAATGAACAATGGATTCTTGATGGTGGTTTGCACGGCTATACCACTTAGCTTCTGAATATCATCCTATCACCATGTGGAACCAAAACCCTCGTCTGCACGGCAGAAATTGGGCATGCCTCGGATTGTCTGCACATCGGTAGAGACTGCGCACACATCCTCCGTCACTACCTGCCAATCTTCAACCGATAGCGGCGACTTGGCCGCACCCAGTATAAAGTGCGACATCCCCGCGCGATTTCTGTGTAGCGGTATACTGATGGAGTAGTTCTCCGCGCCTATTGTTACCAAATACCCGCATTTGCTCCGCGGCCCACTTCAGTGGTGGTGATGGTCTTATAATCCAGCTGAGGTCGGATATCAGCGGGTGTCTTTAGAATGAGTAGTGGATACGGTCTCCTCAAGCCGAGTTAATTCGGGCAGGAGATATAGTGCACTATTCAGTGGTGACCGAGATTACTGTCGGCATTAGCCTAACGAGATAAATAGAAGCATATGCGCATGGTAAATATGAATGCACCTCTACGTTGCATACTTAAGCTTAAATCTGCGGGTGTATGACGTACAGTACAACAGCAGTCAACAGAGAGACCACATAATTTCTGCACATCCCCATGCTATAAATATCTTAGTCGTTGGTAATGATTCCATACTACTTACTCTTGTGATTGTCAGCAGTCCGCAAACGATGACCGCATGGACGGCGGAAGTACGACCGCATCTAACCGAGCCAGCATAAAGATATAAAGAACCCTTTGGCTGGACATTCGAAAAGAAATCCATACGCCCTTAGTGGAATACTACCTCTACCTTGGTCGATTCCCCATTTCATCACTATTCTAGCTCCATCATCTTTGCGGGGAAATTGGGAAGACTATTGGAGAGATTTGCCTCGGCTAAGCTCGGCTAGCATCGGCATTTGCAGTCGTCGGCATCATCATTCATCATTGTTTCATCTGCTGCTTGGAAATCATGCTAGTTCAACCATTATTGGAGAATTTGTCTGTTTGGGGGGCGGTGCAGGGGATTTTGTCTCTGTTTGGGGTTTTGGTAAGTTCGTTACTTTAGTCGCCGGATCTATGATCATCTCCCGCACCAGTGCTGACATTCTGGGCACAGACAGTAGCATATGTCACATACAATCGATTCTTCCACCCGTTACGCTCTATTCCTGGACCCTTCCTCGCATCTATAACTCCCTGGGTACAACTCTACCACGGCCTGAAAGGCGACCGACACCTATGGCTTCACCGTCTACATGAGAAATACGGCTCCCATGTCCGGGCGGCACCCAACTTCGTCTCCATCAACACGGACCGCGGCCTGCACGACATCTACGGCCATGGCAAGCGCCTCCGCAAGGCCAATTTTTACAATGCCTTCCCCGCCATCAAGGGCGTGTACAACACGCACAACGCAATCGACAAGGCGATGCACGGGCGCAAGCGGCGCGTGCTCAGCCAGGCTTTCTCGGACCAGGCGCTGAAGAGCATGGAGGATGTGATGCTGCTGCATGTGCGGCAGCTCTGCGGAGTTCTGACCGGTGGGCTCGAGGGCAAGGGGGAGAAGAGCGCGACGGCCGTTTTCAACATGGGGGATTGGTTTAGCTATCTGACGTATGATGTGATGGGGGAGCTGTGCTTTGGGAAGAGCTTTGATATGCTGATTTCCACCGGACGGCGGAAATTGATCGAGCTTGTGGATCGCGCTGCCAATCGACACTACGTGGTATGGCCGTTTTTCACCCCCCTGATACTGAGAGAAACTGACGAAGTCAAGTGCGGATTGTGGATGCCCCTAGACACCTGGCACCTGGACCAGATCTTCATCCACAAGTTAACCAACGACCGGTGGAACTTTATCATGAACTCCCGCGTCGAAGCCAACGAGCGGGCCAAGGAACGGACGCAGGCCGGCCACGACGCCAAAAAGGACTTCTTCTACTACCTGCTCAACGCCAAGGATCCGGAAACGGGCAAGGGCCTGACGACGCCCGAGCTCTGGGGCGAGGCGAACGTCCTGATGATCGCTGGCAGCGACACGACATCCACCACGATGTCCGCGACGATCTTCTACCTGGTTCGCAACCCCCGCGCCATGGAACTGCTCCGTAAGGAGATCCGCGAGAACTTCTCCTCGGTCGAGGAGATCGTCACTGGCCCCAAGCTCAACGAGCTCGTCTACCTGAAGGCGTGCATCGACGAGGCCATGCGTCTGGCGCCTGCTGTCCCCGGCGCGCCGCCCCGCGAAGTCATGGAGGGCGGCGCCATGGTCGATGGAGTTTTCCTGCCTGAGGGCACGGACTGCGGGACCCCGACGTACTCGATCCACCGGCAACCCGAGTACTACCGCGAGCCCGAGGCCTATATCCCCGAGCGATGGATCGAGGGCGCGATGTGCCAGGCAGGCAGCGAGTCGTGGACGACCAGCAAGGAGGCCGTTGAACTGGCGCGCAGGGCCTTCTGCCCCTTTAGCATCGGGCCGCGGGGGTGCATCGGGAAGAGCATGGCGTTCATGGAGATGCGGCTGACCATTGCGCGGTTGATGTTCCTGTTTGATTTTGAACTGGCCGATCACAAAGGCGAGGATGAGAAGGGCCAGCTGGCCCTGGTGGATCATTTCACTAGCTCCAAGTACGGGCCAAATGTTATTGTCCGGAAGAGAGTTTGAACTCTGATGTGATACTCGGTAAATTGTAAATTGCATGAGCTATGACACAAGCATATGATAAAATATCATTTTTCTTTATAGTTCTGACAATCACAACTTACAGGGAGTCCACGGTCTACACGTAGTACAAACAAAAGACACGGTTGCCGCACGTGGCTTGGCCGCAGGAGCGTGTTTATGCAATGTAAAGCGAGGACCTGTGAATTTCCTGTTGTGGTTAGTTTTGCCCTTTTGGGTATGGTCTGCCGATACGCCGTCTTGTAAACACCGCCCGCATCGTGACCTCCAGTATATAAGAACCGTCCCCTCGCTGTTCTAACATCCTCTCTCCCAACTTCTTCTTTCCCCCCGAATCCGCCCAAATATTCTACACCCTTCCGGTCGCTGCCGTCGTTTCATCTGCTCAGATGGCTACTACCAACCGCCCTCTTTTTTCACCGTCGGAAATTGCAGCTGCGCCTCCCCCTCTCCTCTTGTCTCCACTTTGCAGTTTCCTTTCCGACTGTCAGCCTTGACCGGTTGTTGAGCTGGCTAAGCTAATTATGTCTCCCCATATTTCTCCTTCCTGTGAACTCAGCCAGATCGCAGGGGAAAAAAGAGGTGTTTTGCCTGGTTAACCCCGACGTGTAGCAAAACCCGTTAACTTAAGAGCTATAGTTTCACAGAAGGCCTTCTACATCATTTGCTTGCTCGACTTACCAGTAAGACACAGATACTGCAACTTTCAACAACTCTGAGGCTGAATACGCCTTACCACCGCCCCCACTCCCTAGTGTTTCCGTGGTCACTGGTTCCAGCGTTGCATTACACTAATCATGTGCACACGATGAGCCGTGATGCGCTTAGGTTGCCTAGATAACGATGAGATTACGCCCTCAGTGAAACAAGACCAATGGCATAAATGCCTCACCAGTAATACTGTCCCAGTCCTCGCGACTGATCAGAGTTGCCATCCTTGACTTTCCGGCCTTCTGCGCCCTGCGACACAAGCTTGCGAAATGAACATTGCTAAAAGCACCATCATTCGCGGTTTCTTATCAAAGAGTTGCTGTGGTCTCATGACGAGTGCATTCAGCAATTACCAATTGTGGGTAACATTAAGTAAATCCCTCGGGTTGACTGGGATGGCTGTTTGCAATTGGCTGAGTGTTGAACTGGGAGGCATGCAACAACAATGTCAAGGCGCTACATGGCATGGTTGGACCGCAGGATCTGCAATTCTTTGAAACACAGGAAAAAAAGCAATCCATGCTACTATGCTATGTTGTCGAAGAGCGAAAAGATTATCCCAGCACATTGATGTCTGCCTAGCTGGGGCAGGTTATAAATACCCTGGTCTATCTCTTGTTGAGCAGCTATGCACATAGCAAAATTTACTAATTAAATCCCCTACGTTCTGCGTTCAGTCCACTTCCCAACTCTCGCCTCATCTAGTATGAATCATCAGATTTCTTACAATGGACCTCTAGCGACATCGTCGTTCCCTGTCTGAAAGTCATAATTTGGCACCGTCCCTTTCCCTCGCACTTTCCTACCCTGCAATTTCCCTTCTTCACTTCCATCTGGCCCCTTGAATCATCCCCTCCCTCCCAAACCTCCCATTTCCAAGTATTTCTTTCATGCATACACTCCACTTGATCTTCGAACCCCGTCCGAAAGCACCACGTCTCCACGCATTAATCATGGCAGATGCGTTCCAGTTACCAGCGAACCCGAGTCGCCTTCTTCAGACCATTAAATTAGGGTGCTTGGCAGCACCAAAGTAGAGAATATTATTTTATTACCTAGCGAGGGTGCGTACAAATCATTCAGTTTTACCATCAAGGGCCGCCGCTCAACGGTAATTTTTTTCAGATAAAATCCAAGGTCTTGAAAGTGACTGCGAAATGACGAGCAGCCTCAGCTTCAATAATATTGATCCGCCCCGCCCAGGAACCTTCTTACGCGCGCAAAATCACGACCCATTCAGGCGTAAGTCGTCATTCTTGCCGCGGTGCGTCGATGATGGGCTATGTCATGCCAACGCCAACCCAGTGTCAGAAGTACCTGAGGCGCCCCCATCCACCGTCAAAAGCTCTGGCGATGCTAGCGTAAGCGACAAAGATGATGACTGTCTCATGGATCATTGTATGCTGCACGAAGGCGAGAAAGGCTTGCTGGACGTACCTCGATCAAAGGTGCAGACCTCAGTAGGGCAGGTGGCTGAAACATCCCCTCCACAGCTCAGCCGTCAAGTAATTCGACATGCTACTTTGAGTAGCTTGTACATCAAAGTCGAGCGATCAAAGCCTTCCAGTTAAAAAGGGCTGTTATGCACCGCTTTGGAGATGGACGAGAAAGCAAGTGGTCCTCGAACAAGGGCGAGAGTTGGAGCGAAGGTCCAGCCCTCGTGTGGGCAGGTGGTCGAAAAATACAAACATTAAGCCACCCAGCATGATACTGGGAGTAGCATGTACATCAAGCCCAAGATCGCCTGATCAAAACCTACCCACCAAAAGAGGCCAGCAGGCGCTGCTTTGGAGACTAATGAGAAAGCAAGTAGTCCTCAAACAAGGGCGAGGGCAACAGCTGAAGCATCCGAAGCATCTGAAGCATCCAGTCCATTGCCAATTGCCCGTAGTGCTCGACCTTATTCAGCGGCTGAAGACGATATCCTACAAATATTGGTGGCTAGAGGGCTCGCCTGGGAGGAAATTGAGAAGGAGTTCGGTCTGCGCTTCGCTAAGAGGACTATAAGATCCCTGCAGATGTGTTTGTTGAGAAAGCTGAAGCTTACAGCTCCGTCTACCAGATGCTCGAAGCGCAAAAGGTCTTCTTGGTAGTAAAAGACGCATGTTGAATTTTCTGACACAAAGGCACCACTGCACAAGTCGAGTTATAAGCACTGGATGATTTCTGGGTTGCCTGCCCGGGCCACCTCTGGCCTCCGCCAACAGGTCTGCGCCAGGTTGTGAGACGTCATATGATCCGCATTGTCTGGCCGAACTGAATCAGGTTGCGCATCGAAGCAGTTGTGGCAAGGCTCAAGAGGATCCCAATATGGTGGACAGAGGAAAAGGCACATCTGAGATCAACCTATAGCGTCCTTATGCGCAACGGGGTGCTATATATGCATTATAGAGATACAAGACCCACAATAGTCTATTGCAGCGTGTAACCGAGACATGTTAGATCATCTGGAAACAATGTCAGTCATTGAATGGCCATGATTCTTCCCACGCAACTCTTTCTGTTTCAGAATGTGCCAGCCGATCTATCAGCTCTGCTTTTGCTTGCTTCAAACGCCTTTTCACTTTATTATATTGCTCCGGCCGTATAACCCCCTTGTCTGGCCACAGCTGGCCTAGCGATTGCCTTAGGTTTTGCATTAACTCCATACCCCTGATTGCGCCAGAAACATCTTCATTAATTAAAGCAACCTCATCTGCTGAGAACTGCAAAGGAAATAGCGGATAGCCAGAGGCTTGCACGCAGGGTAGGGTTGTCCACTCCTTTTCAAGATCGAGGCATCTGGATTGATATAGTGCCTCCCCATCTATAAGAAGATTTTGAGCGAAAAGCAACATCTCAAAGCTGGTAGTCTGCCGAAATTCCATTGCCTTGAACAATGTTTTATTATTATTGTAGGTGAATCTTCGATACAATGCTGCGAGTGACATTTTTAAATATAAATCCTGGGCTTCAGCTTGCGCGGCAGGATCAAGTTTATTAAAATTCTCTGGAAATGCTGGTGGCTCGAGATCTGTTAATAGAGGGCCATCGTAGTCAAGGAAATATGGCTGGCGAGCATGGTCAAAAAGTGGCAATATTTCACTTGACTGCTAATCTATGATACCTAGTACCTCCGCTGGCCTTTCAGGGTGAATGAAGATATTCTCAGCATGAAGGTCAGGGTGCCATAGAAAGGCGGATGTGATTGATTTATCTGTTAGAAGAAGGTATTTCACAAGACAAAGGTAATTTTGAAGAGCCGCTATCTTTTTAGAACGAGAGCGACAGTATGTGCCAGGGCCATATAGTGATAAGAAAGATGGAGGTAATCTAGTCATATTCTGCACACAAATAATCTCCTAAAGACCAACCACCAACTTGTACTGCTCTGTACTACTCCCTAAAATAAGCATGTAAGCAGATATCCTTAAAAAGGGCAGAATATGGAGTCATACAAGGGCCTCTATCAAAGTCCAAGTCTATCCTACCATCGTCCAGAAATTCTCGGCTGGTTGATGGGCCAACAGCAAACCATTAGTACTTTGTTATAGACCCATCCCCCTTCATGAGGTTACATCCGTCAGTATTAACAGTATTAGAAGAGTAGTATAGACTGCCGTATTAAGTGAAAGACATTGATATCTAGGCTTTTTGATATCCTGAAATTGTCTTTACAGGTTCAAATCTTTCCTTGATACCCATCTCTGGCCAGACTTTACTGAGTTGGACGCCGGCAACTTTCTCCATTATAATATATTCCACGCCAACCAAGTTGTCTTCTGGTTTCGAACTCTAAGCTAATACTTTTGGTACCGGGGTGCGTAGCTCATTTCTAACCTAGGTACGCATGGAGCATCAGAATAAAGGCAGAGCAGTTAGTAATAAATAAGTATGGTTTTGTACTTACAAAATCCATTGTTGCCACTTCACTGGTGGTCATGTAATGGGCCCGCCCCGCGTTTGGGTTTGGCACTTTACCTACAACTTAAGTCCCGTCTTGCATTGTGAAGAGGAAGGTTTTATTAAACATCCCATCAGGAAATTTCTCAATCCGCATGCATTGTGGAGAAGTAAAGCTGACTGATTCAGCAGCATACTTTACTAATTCATCCATATTAAATTCAACATAACATATTGCCATCTCGTGAGTTTCGTTGGATAAAAATCGGCCTCTCATATAGCGAAACCACTCTTCATTTGCATTGCGAGCCATCTGAAATGCCTGGTTGGGCTTGGCTGCTGATTGACTGGAAGTATAGGATAGCATCCATCTTTGCTTCTTAAACAGAGAAAAGGCACTGCGCATGGTAATAACTAACCCCAAGTAGAATAATAAGGAGTGAAGTGCAAAATGTGAGGTCCGTGTCCCTGTTAAAGAAAGTTGCGAAATATATCAGAAACAAAGTCATATGAGATATTAGTCATTACCTGTGGAGCTGCACCAAATTCTCCATATTTCCCATTTTTTGAAGCATGTGCCTGGTGAGGCCCATGTTCAGAGGGGAAATTTCCAGATCAGAAAACTTCTCATTGGGCATCAAGCCTCCTTCATCAAAGCTACATAGATATATCTGGTCATCATATCAAACGATACGGGCATTCGTACTTTAATTTTACATGGAAGAAGTTCAATCATAAGTGCGTCAACTTCCTGACTCTTGCCGCCTGCCTGTTAATCCGCCTTCATGCTTTTCCTTCAGACCCTGGTCACATCATATTCCTAGGATACGTACATACGACTATGGATGCGGACGAGGTTGAAGATAACAGTATCCTGGTCGGGTCACTTTCAGAAAATAATATCCTTGAAAAGGCTAAAGAGGGGCTCAGGGAAGTGGGAAACTTGGTAGAAAACATTAAACCTTACAGATACGGGATGCGCCACTAACGACCGCTAAGTTAAGTGGAGGGATCGCGCTCGACTCTGAGCAAACATATACGTCGGGGGTTGTGATAGTGGATTCAATGGTTATAGCCCTTCTTGTGACAAGTACTGGAGGTGAGGGAGTTGTTTAAGTACACAGCAAGCTAGCAAGATACACCAAGACAAAGGGATTGTCCAGAGAAGCTCTTCTTATACTAAAGCCCAGCAAGCAGTTTTTAATCCTTAGTTCTCTTTCAGTTCACTATATTCGCAGCCAAACCACCCAATGAGTATACTAGGTTGTTCGCTAATTCCCAGTCGAATAGCAAGACCGCACTTGATCCCACATCCGAGGTTACTTTTATTTCAACAGATGGAAAGGCGCCGTACCACGGGAGTTTCAGCTTCAGGTTTGGACAAGTGAGCTCATACTATTGGAGAAAACCAATTGCGGTGTCCCAATTCATGAGACTATTGTAGCTTTGAAAGAAACGGAGGAGATTCCTGAGCGTTAGATTAACCTCTTGATGGGGTTGTTTGCTTAGTAGGAGACTGAGTTGGAGCATCGGTCTCTCATCACAGTATAAAAACATAGACCCTTGAAGAGCTTTTGACGGCTGTACTGTGGTCCGATCAGCAAGGAGTCATTCATACAACAATGGTGCCTGCTTCTATCCTACCAGTCTCTATATATTCAATTCCCTCTAGTTCACAGAACACTTACACTTTCTCTAACAGTCTCTTTAGGTGTTCAACGGTCTCCCACCAGCTCCAAAGTTTGGGAATAAGCTCAAGATAACTTTTCTTGCCAATCTCAGTGATTGTCACAAAAAATAAATATAGGGTAAAGACTAAGGAGCTCAATTTTAATATCTTCTCTAAATTTATCTGTGCTGTTATTTTCCTCTGACATGTGCTAGAGCTCTTAATTTAATACAAGACATGAATATCTTCCTTAATAAGCTGGCAACTAGCGCTCTCAACAAAAGTACACTGCATGTAATATTGCCAAAGTCAGGTACATATTCCTAAATTATTAGCTTAGATGGAAACAAACAGAAGTGTGCATTAGTTTGTCATCTGACTATGCACATGATTGTGCTTGATAGGATAGATAGAGTGGGGTAGCATTATTAATGTGTGTAAGTGCAGCAATGCTCACTCACTCCATTTAAAAATGCTCAACAACTATGCAACTACATGAATACTGTATGAATATTACATCAGTCTTGCCGAATCCTTGCGCTTTTTTAGGGACTAAGTATTTCAATCCTAGTAATATTTAGTTGTGTTCATCTAAATTAATGCTCTCAGCAGCATTCCTTATCATGATAGTCTCCCTTTCTCTTATATTTTGGCTCCTGTCAACTCATCTGATTGCTATTAATTATCATCTACTACTTTAACAGTCTGTCCCCTAAAGAGAAGGTGTTGACATTCGTGCCCTATTCAACCACATCCGACGGTGATGTGTACAAGTAGAATGTGCACGCCAAGATCAGTGCAAACCAAGCAAGGCCAACCAGGTCACCAGTTGACCAACAGATTTCAGTCAAGAGGCGCTGCTACAAACTAATAAGCAGGCTTCCAAAACCAAAGAGGCTGAATACGAACCTATTTTAGTTCCTCAAAAGAGCTAGCTGACATCATCACAGAGAGGAATTCAACAGCAGCTAAGTACTTCTCCCAGTATTTGAGATTGTCGATTCCAACTGCTCCATCGTCCATGATGTATTTCTGCATCAGTTCCATCATCACCCAGCCCACAGGAGCCAGGTTACTCGCTTGAATCCTACCTGGTGATCAAAAGGAACAGCAATCAATTCGTGCTACGCGTTCTTGTTAGACCTTGTCGAGCTGGCCTCAAGCAACGGGATTACCAATTTGAACGTCCCCCTCAAGAGACATCAGGATGCTGGAATAATCAAGGGAAGTGTGCTAGAGATTTTGCTCAATGAGATACGATAACCCCTCCACAAACTGAAAAATAATTAGTGATCGTTGTATCCGTGGGGAAGGTGGAAGGACCTGAGACATGATGGCGGCGAGCTGCTGTTGGTTTGGGAAGGCTTTGCATGCGACGACATGATCTAGGGTAAGAGGGTGGAACTTGCTGAGAGTATATATAGTATCAGGAGTATCAGGACTGCGAAAACATGCCCAAACCGCGACCACATTTTTGTGATGAACTGAACGGAAAATGTCCAGTATTCTGTTGGCATCTTTGCTAGGATACTAGCAGATCGCCCAAACAGCATGGCGACTAGAGCGTCAGACGCATACAGCAACAGTGCCAGCCAGATCACATTCATAGTATTTCTCAAAAGTATCCCAGGGACGTTCCTGTCGTACAACTAGATCTGAACCGGCACTGTTTCCTAACTCGCTAATCACCAGAAGAGCCAAGGCTCATGGATGGCCCTGTATAGTCTTACCACCAGGGTCTACGGAAGATGGAGCAGCAGTTCTTTTGACCAGGCGCCCATTGGATGGGAGCGCTCCCCTGCGTTTATTGTTAAGCTCAGGCGGTGACAGCACCACAGCTTCAGTATCAGAGGCGGATTTTTTGGGAGCAAGAACCATATCCACGAGGATTTGGGTGACCCGTTTGTCATCCACAGGCCGCATGATATCGGTCAACAATATGCAGTAGATGTCTAACACATCAGTAATGGCATGCTCCCTGTGAGCAAGAGCACTTTAATAGTAGAATAGTGTCTCAGAAGAAAGCTGCTGCAGAAAGCCTGAGGGCCGCTGCGGAGAACCTATATACATGATGGAGAATTTGCGTAGTGCAACCGCAGCAGAGGGCGCTCTCAACTATTATATATTTTTGTCACAGAACTAACTCTGACATACCATTTCTTTTCGGCTTCATCTTAATGCAGCGGGCTCTATTCACTGAGGAAGAAATCCGGCTGGCAGCAGAGCGCCGCCAGAAATACATAGGAACAGCCAAGGTCAATATCAGTCAAATATAATTCAATCCTCCATTGCCGCGGGATCTTGATCCAAAGAACTTGGGCCGGCTCCGCGAGATTTTCCGTAAAAACCGCTGCCGCTGACTCGATGTGGATAATCACGTCCCTGCAACTGTGTCCCAGGGAGATCTTGCTGGTGCACTATAGAACGCGAATGTTTCACAGCAAGCATTGCTGACCAATGATCCTCACCAACTTCCACAACTGCGGTTCGCGGCTGGACAGCTGCGGGCCCTTCATGGACGTCATCAGGTGCAGGTGGGAGCCAAGGTGCTTCCTCCAGCTGACCATTGGTGGACGGTAGATCTCTATCTAGATGGTATGTTTGTAGCAACCTGCGCTTCGTATGTACCGTGCTGACCACCGACCGACGCAGAGATCGGCGAAGAATTGAGAACCTCACTGGTGGAGGAATATGCAAACCAGAAAAAGCCGACCGACGGAGAAATATATCGGAAGATTCAACAATATGAAGGCGAGGGCAATGAAGCATTCCGGCAGCGGTGGTTTGTCCGGCTATCACGAAGCAATCAAGAATGCCTAGATCAGCTAGACAACAGAAGGAACTGACGTCTCCAGCTAGCCTTCGATCGGCTATTGCCAATCCCTGGCCTTTGGCCGCATGGGATGCGAATCAGCATGCTTCACCGACTGATCGCTACGGGTTGTGTCGAGGTGAGTCCTGTGATCTAGAGCTAACTTCCCACACTGCCGACCAATTCTTACCGCCCCGTAGGAGATCCTCACCTATCTTGGTCATATCGGAGACTTCTGGTCCTCACTGGTGGCCTTAGATCCAGATTTGATGAAGAGGATTGATCCAGACACTGTGGATGCCCTGCAGTTGCTGGCGCCGGGCAAGTCCAGAATCAACACCACAATGGCCCGTGGGCTGGTGCTAGGCGGCCAAGCATTCGCTGAATTCACTGACGAAGAACGAAGGGTCATATGGAACCGGCTGGCAAATTTTGACGGGCTAGTTCTGTCTTTGTACAAGTTCTTTGAAGATTTCAAGTATCTCGAAAGCTGTGCGCATTGCGTGAAGCGACTCTTTGGCTCGTCAACCGAATCTGTGTGGAAAACCATGAGCTCGATTTTCGTTCCGTATTCGGGTTCGGAGGTGGAAGAGAGACTTATTCAAACTTCCGAATCCACTTTCCGGCGTGAGGCTGCAACCGATGCAGAGTGTCTTGATATAGGGTATTTACAGATCTGGCTGTACGCAATGCGACATTATCCTCTGATGCCACCCGACCCGAAGAGTGACGATGAGCTTTTGGCAAAGTCATCTCGTGCCATAGCTGACAAGAGGGCGATCTATGAGATGGCTGAGCTTGCTCGCCGGCTCGGGTTTCAGTCCCCAGAGATCAAGGCAATAATTGATGGTTCCCCAGATTGTGAGATCGCGCGGGCAGCTCTGTTACAGGCCAGGAAACCTAACTATCTCTGGTATGATGAGGATCAATTTGATGCCCTTGTCAGCCAAATTGTTGATTATTTCGCTGCTGCAGTTCCTGACCAGCCTGAAATTATTCATGAACTTCTCGCGGATAGCACTGTGAAGCCTCGGGCCCGCTGCGGCATGCCACGAATGTGTACTCATAAGTAAGATATGCATTTGCTCTTCTTAGATTGTCTACACGCTGAGGTAGAGGTTGCAGACACAATCACTACCTTTTTTGTGCGTTGTTGTGTTTATTTCACCTTCTTCAGGACACCTCAAACTGGAGCCACTGAGGGCGAGAATAACAGAGAGACTCCCAGAGATAGGGATGCTCCTCCTCTATCACTGTTGTTTGTCGGATGGAATGGGCTTTCCACTCATGATGTTGTCACCATGTATGCTGATCTACCACGGGAGCTGTCTCAATAGGAATAAGGTCAGCCACAGCCCCTGGATGCCGGACGGGATGCGGAATAGCAAACTCTACCCAGCCAGCAAGCACCGAGGGGAGAAAGGGGACAGAATGTCGCGAAACAGTAATGAGGACGGAAACTCCAGACATGCAGTCGTCGGCTTCCCCAAGAGGGGGAATCAAATCAAGACCCCATGGAGGTTGAATGGCTGAGTACAGAGCAATCAGATCAGGATATGTCCGATCAAGTAACCCCAGAACCCCTTGAATCAAGTCCAGTTCTTCCGCGTCAGGATCCGCCGGATGAGTCAATCACAATCGATTCAGCAACGGCAGCGACGGCACACATAGGATCATCAGAACGCATTACTTCTGATCAAACTTCCGACAAAGGAGCGCATGGCACTCAAAGTGTTGACTCAGGTGTGCTGCAACCTACGCATTACCACGCAAACGAGGAGGAAGCGGACACGAACAGCCAATATACAAGGATTTCCGTTGGACCGGAACCTCCCGAGTGGGCGTCAGAGGAGATGTCAATTATAAATGGCCCGCATCAAGGCGCTGCTCAAGACCAGATACGGGTCGATAGTCCACAGCCTGAGTCCTCAAAATCAGATCTTGGCACTAGCAGGCAACAAGTTGTCTCAGTTGCGTACCTTGATCAACTGATGAAGGCCTAGGAAGAGCAAGAGAGGCTGGAAGAAGAGCTAGAACGCAAACAACTTGCGGAGGAGCTTAGCCTTTCTAACCAGGAGCAACCTGTTCCGGAAGCTTCACCTAGGTCTTGAGTAAGACACAATTCACCGTCGACCCCGCCTCACAACGAACCAGTACAGACGACAACCAGCACAAGCTCAAGGCGTACTCATGACCCACTCCCAGTCTTTCCCCGCGAAGGGGAAATGCTGCCCCAAGTAGACAGTCTTGTAGCATCCACCCCCAGAGGAGCTGCCAGCAACGCCAACAGTCAGAGTCCTCAAGCAGATGATGACAGGTCAACGCGACCAGCGCTGGCGTTGCCGCCACCAGCACAGGTCACAATTTCCTTCTAGACCTTTGAACGGGAGCAGTGGAGGCAGACTAATCGTATCCAAGTAGATCCTTCGGATCCAGCGCCGGTGGAACAAGTGGCGAAGAAGTATGTGCGGAAGAAATATTCGCTGTATGATCAGAACCTGCAAAGCCTCAAGCCTGACCAGTGTTATCGTGTGGCGACTGTGGACGGCAATAACGCAATATTTATGATCTCTGAGGACGAAGAGGACAGGCTTGCGGCAGAAGGGCGACTTAATAAGGACAGGCAGCTTCTGACGTTGGTCTCCCAAGCACTAGACCCGGCAGAATCCGAACCAGGGTCTCCTAACAAGCGCCACCGTTCTATGGCACTTAAGGAAACATAAATCCCTTTCTGGGTATGATATACGAATATGTGGCTCAACTTAAGAGGCTTGCACACACATGAGTTATTTCGCCATGAGCGTGACCTCTTAAAGCAGTTGACCACCCAAGAGGCATTTCTTATATTGATCTACGGAATATCTAGACCTTTTTATGTGGTATGCCACAGGAAGTCATTCATGATTAGATGCTCATGGTAATGCCCCTTTATGAAGGGATCTGACATGGAAAGATTGGCTCAGAAGGCGTTCAACAAGAGGAATGCCCTCTTGTGAGAATCCTCTTGTGAGGAAATCAGGCACGTGAGGACTCCAATGAGAGAGAGAGCCAGACAAGATGTATCCCCATACGTAAGACGACTCATCGGGGGGAAAACGTTCTAGAACAGCTGTCTCATGCCAAGTCTGGCAATGAGAGATGCGCATATTGATAGAACTCTATTGGGCGCTCTACAGCTAACTGAGGCTGCGGAAATGCTTGGCAGGCACCATGGTTTGTGAACTGTGGAAGCGCTGAGGGCGCTAAGCTTTCTTCGACTTCCCCAGCCATGTCCCACCCAATAGCCATCAGCCTCAGCGTACCCTCAGCTCGTACTACTCGGTAAATGGATGGTTGTTGGCTGAACCGTTTCCGCATCGATTGTGGTGTTTCGTGGGCGGAATATTTTTAGAAACCTGATCGTTCGTCTCCTCTGAGCAATGGCTTCATAGCACACTATTCGTCATCTAAGGCACTGCTTGAAGGATATGCGTAGTAACTAGTAAAATAGAACATCTTATATGAGTACGTGCGTATATATGTACCTATACGTACTTGATTTTCTAGGACAACCGTAGACTTCCTCTTCGGGACACCGCCGCTTTAGTGAGGGCGCTCAGGGGTCCGTCCCTTGTTTTTTGTCTACCTTACCGCTTATTGGTGACTATGGGTTTGGTCGCAGATTCTACACTTGCTCTTGGTTTTGGGTTGTCTCGTGTCTTATCAGATGCTGTTAAATATGTATATAGCGTGTTGTGTTTGATATAGAAGATTCGGCTTGAAATTTATAGTTCCGCAACCCGTAGATGGCCGCCGGCGACTGCTATGTTCATAACAGTGCTATCTTTTCTTAAATGTTCGACGCCCATGGGTGGGAATGTGTGCGATGCTGGTATACAATACCAGACCCGGCTTCAATATTGAGCAGAAGACAATGTACCGACCTCATCGAAGCTTGACGCTGGTGGCATTGAAAGTCGGCGGGGGATGATCAATACTGCCGGTATCGTTGAAGGTACATGTGCGACAAAAGTCCGGCGGTGGTGTCTCCAGTACAGTGCCATTGGCAAAGATGACCCCCGAGAAGGTGCTGAACCCAGCCCCGCGGTCCCCTCCCACTGAAAGCATCATCCGCGTGTTTGTGGCGTGCTGGGCGAGCGGATTCTGGCCCCCGTTGACATCGCAGTTCTGGCTCACCATGTACAAGTTCAGCCCAACAGCCAAGGTCTGCATCATGGGGTTGTAACTCTCGGCGCTGAGATCGCTCACGTGGAAGAGTCCGACAGCGTCATGCAGGATCACCGTGGGAAACTTGTCCGGGGAGATGGCATTCAGGCCGTAGTGATAGAGCGCCGGGTTAGTCTCCTGGTTGGCGATCAGTTGCAGCGTAGGGGGCGGAATGGCGACATCCAGGGCGCTCGGAGTGCACTGCCACTGCATAATGTAGTAGGAATCGCCCGTTCCCCCATCGCGGGCGATGCTCTTCATGTGGGCGATCTGCTTGTCGGCGTTTTGCTGCGTGTACTGCTCCTGGGCCCAATAGTCGTCGCGGTCAAAGGAGGTGGTGTTGTAGATTCTGGACTCCGCGCGGCCCTTGGGGATCCCAGCGTTCAATGTGCCATCGATGATAATGAGCACGCAACCCCGGCCGTCGTTTGCATCTAGAAAGGTATGCAGCGGTTGCCGATTGAATTTCCCGCCGTCGCTCGGTTCCGGGCAGCGGTTGTTGATCCCTTCGAGCTTATCGTAAAACGCGTTGGTGAGCGCGGCGCTCCAGTACCGATTCGCCTGGGTGAGGTCACCATTGTCCAGGTTGGTCATGTATCTCACCCACCAGACAATGACCTCCCCGGTGTAGTCGGTGGTAAATCGATTGACCCCCGCAATCAGGCTGTCCAGAGACTCCCCCGTCGCCCCCAGAGGCGCGGCGGCAGTTTCGTCGTTGACATGCGCTGCCCAAAAGCTGGCAAGCCCGTCGATGCTGACGATCCTCATGTCAAAGTACCGAACGCCGACCCGCAGCTGGTTGTAGTGGTCCAGGCTCTGCGTCTCGGTGTTCGAGGCAGTGCCCAGTCCGTTCCACCCCGAGTCGGTGATGCTGCTCATCCCGGCGTCGTGCGAACCAGGGACGACGACGTGACGCAGTTCGCGATCCTTGATGATCGCATACATGCGGTTCATCCAGTCGGCGTTGTTGAGTTGCAGCGAGGTGACATAGCCGTACTCCTCACTGCCGGTGATGACCAGTGCCACGCTGACCCGCTCACCAGGGAATCCGAGCTCGCGCCAGCCCAGGCCCATGCCGCCGAGGTCAAAGACCACGCGGCGCTCGTAGCTGTCCGGGATGTGCGTGGTAACGTGCACGGCAAAGGTCTTGTCGGTGTTCTCGAGTTGATAGTAGGCGTACCCGTTGGTGTCGACGAAGCGCCCACCTTGAGGCCCAGATCGTACGTGACGTTGTTCTTCAACGCCCGCCCCGAGGGCACGTCGCCAAACTGCCAGGTCGAGAACTGGTAGGGTTCGGGGCCCGCCGTATGGATGAATTTGTAGGGGGTTAAATTGACAATCGTCACAGACTGCTGACCGTCTGTGTCGTCGGCATGATTTAGCACGGTACCATCGTTTGACCATAGCTCAATCTCCCCGGGTGGCACGTATTCACTGCTATATTGACGGGCCGCATTTGAACACTGGTCATCTCCCCCGTCGCCAGGCTTGGGCGCCGCGCCAATGGATGGCAGCTCATACAGTGAGATGTGCGCCCAACTCGGGTGGCTCGAGACCGCGAGGTTTGCTGCAGATGTGATTGTGGTCCCGTCCGGAGAGACGATGATATTCTTCGCGCCGATCCCAATGACATGTTGTAATCGATTGTTATCGTAGTTGCTGCCGAGAAGCCACAGCGCCTTCTGGCAACCGTGGACGTCGATGCAGTCTTGCGTGTACGTGCGGAACCAAGAGTACGTGCCCGCAGACCCGATATGGACATTTTGGCAGTTTTTCATGATGACAGCCCACGAGGCATCGCAGCCGTCCGCATCGCTGCCATCGCAGCCGTACTTGGGATCGCTGTCAAAGGTGCCGACCACCTGGTCGAATGGTGCAGGGGGCTTCGGCGTCGGCTGGTAGTAAGGTGATTCGGTCTGCAAGAACGTGGTGAAGATGTTTTGGGCGCCATTGAAGTTGTACTGGTAGAAGACGCTATGCTCCGAAGCTGTCCCGTACAGCCATGTGGCCTTTTGGCTTTCGATCAGCATGCCCCGTGCACTGTACACGGAGAGCTGTTCCATGTTGTTCAATGGGTCATCGAGCAACGGATCGTCAATCATGTGGTCTGCCACCCAAAGCCACATGTTGTCAAAATAGCCCGAAGCCCGCTTGGTGACGTGTAGGAGCATGCTAGCCACTTGACATGAAGATGGATTGGTCCCAGTGGTGATCGGAGGACACTCTGTCGGCGTCAACTCGGTCCCCGTTGCACCCCCCAGCCGTACGTGGACATCCCACAGCGCGGCCGAGCCTGCGCTTTCTGCGGCGACGTTCCACTCCATCAGGATAACTCCCGGGGTCGGACCTTTGCTTGTCAAGATGAGATCTTGTAGCTCTACATTGCCGACCTCCCCCTCGTTGCCGACCCTGAGCATGACCGCGGGCTTGCTGGCATCGCCAAAGTAACCTCCTGATGCTGCAAACTGCGACCAGGTCTCACCGATGATCTTCGCATTCTTGGGAACAGTAACGGTGCGTTTGATGATGTAGGTGCCGGCATCTACCAAGATGATCTTGCTGCCATCGCCATATTTATTGAAGGCATTCTGAACGGCGTCCGTGTCGTCCGTCGAGCCGTCGCCAGCAGCACCTTCATCCTTGAGATGAACAAAGTCTACTGCGGTTTTGTCAGCGTACTGGTTCCTGGGACGTTCAAAGTAAGGAGCCACATCGAGTCCCGCGACGGATGGTCCCAGGAGAGAGGGTTCTCGGTCATAGTCCTTTGGCCCGTTGGTCCAGGACCGTTTGTTTTCCTTGTACGTTGCCCCCATCACATACTGTTTGTTGAATCAGCAAAGATTGTGACCTGAATGGGGGCAGCTTAGGGTAGCAACATACGCTCTTGTAATATCCGGAAGAGAGGATCAGGTTGTCACTCCAATGGTCTTTGATCGGACGATCCAGCCGGACATTATCCAAAACCAACCCGGTGAATCCGGAGTCCACGACATCAACTGGGACGGCCATCTCAATCGCAAAAGACTCGGTACCGGAGAAGACCGAGTCGATAATGGTCACCGAGCCTGGGATCTGCCCGTTGGCATCGTTGTATAGTCGGAATCCAACTTTGGCGTTCTTGACCGTGATGCTCTTCCACACCCAACCCCAGTCCCAGATGACTTCGACTGCAGTATTGCAGCCATTAAAGGTCAACCGCGCGGCACTGAACTGCTGACTGCCTCCATCTGCGAGCCGTCAGTGTTGAGGCTTAGACTGCCGGGTCTCACTTACAAATCCCGAAGTTGCCGCCGGTGAAAGTGATGTCTGACATGACGCCCCCGCTACCATTCTCCGCGTACATGCCTTGCTGAGTCTGTCAGGTAAAATAGTCAGCCGGCTCCAATTAAGTGCTAGTGGACTTGAAAGTCTCAACACCTACCGTGGCAGAATCTGCGATGATCTCAACATTCTCAATTGTCGTCGCCTGGGCCACCTGATAGTGGAGTGCAGCCACATAGGCACCCGGATTGCTTGCCGTGATATCGATCTTCAAATTGCGAATCTGGCTATAAAACCGCGCAGTGTTGATATACCACTCCAGCGCATTGCCATCGGGCCCGTCTCCACCGTTATCAACGTAGACGTCCGTGGACAAGACTCCGAGACCGACAAAGCTCGAGGCGGCTCGGATTGTTGGCCAGTTATTTGCATCACCAATGATCTGAGTGCCGAAGTAAATGCTAATCGAGCTAGACACAAGGTACGTTCCGGGAGGGAAATATACGATGGCATTTTTGGTAGTGGCCCCATTGCAAGCGGCGCCACATCGCTTGCCGTCATCGATGGCCCTTTGGATTGCTGCCGTAGAATCCTACCATTGTTTAGTCCCATCGTCTATACTGTGCTTCCGTTAGGCGTACTGACTCTTTGACCTGTGGGATCAGCCCCATAGTCGTTGACGACATGTCGAAAGACCTACAAGTTGCATCATGTCAGCGTAGTCTTTGGGATCGAAGCCGTTGAGGGGATTGGCTGCCGGAGAGTAGACACCTTGTAGTCAGGATTATCTCCCCACGGGATGGCACCCTTTCGCTCGATCCCCTCCATCCAGAACGTTCCCGCCCTCCGGTATAACTTGATGTATTTTCCACCAGCCGAGCCACCTGCTTCGAGCTCGGCCACCAGCGCTGCCGCGCGGGCAATCTGGTCGGTGATATTGAGTAGAGGCGGCGGTGCAGCCACGTCGTCACGCTTACCCAGCTTTGTCCCCGGCTTCATAGAGTAGTTGTTACGTGACGGGCGGGCAAGACGGGCTTGATTCAGCTTGGTCATTTCCGCAACGGCCTCTCTGACTATCTGACGGGCGGTTGCAATCTCGCTCGAGGTCGCGTTGTGCGCCGCCACATTTGGGGGCAAAACAGCCGCCTCGCCCCGAGGGGAGATAAACGCTCGATGATGGGCAGCATGGTCCCGGTGGGCGTGGGAACTGGATAGGACGAGGACAAAATAGGAAAGGATATATATCCAGGAAAGAGTGGCAGAAAGAGAGATCCACATCTTGCTCAGTGACAAAAGGGAGCGAAAAGGAGCGAACGAGCCAGGTCGGCTCAACAAACGAGTGTCTGGTTCTTGAGAAAGAAGGGAAATGGAGCGACTGCGCCATTTGATTTATATACAGAGCTCAGTTACTCCGAGGTTGAGCCCGAATCAGCCATGCTTGATTAAGGGGTATATCGCATATTGGACAGGGGGATATGCAGGACAACCCTGCTACTGCTGATTCCTGCGGTTACAGACGCCAATGTCGCCGCTCTTCTGGCTCGGAAGAACAATGAGCAGAGCGTTGTTCACGCCCTTTCTCCGGGGAGACTGCATCCCATGGCGACACGTGAGCGGAGTTGTGCCTTCTTTAAGGTAGTGCTGACAGCTGGTCGAGCTGCTAGTTTGACAAGGATCTCTGTTAGATTGTATAGATTCCCCGAGGATGGCTCTGGATTGTCCCAACACCGTCCATGTCAGTAGGTTGATGGTAGATGAAGCTATCTATGACCCCATGTTGCCCTAGCGCAGACGTTGATAATCTGACATGCATGAACCAGTCCTCAACACCAATGATATGGGCTTGCTGGCACACGTGCACGGGGCAGCCGCAGGGTCGAACAGCAGGATGCACTGGCAGGGTCTAGGGACTATGTTCCTACATACTCCATACTCCGTGCTCCGTACTATAATAGTGCCATCATTGAACGGGCCAAATGGGAGTGGGGCCCAAATGTGGCTTGTAGCTCATTTCCACCCCCTCTCGATCTGCCCAGTAACCAAGCTTATATTGGCACATTTTAAGCGATAGGATGCATTGCTCTGTACCAAGTCGCCGTCATGTCCCCGTCCCTTTTTGTTACAACTGGAATCTTGTCGTATTCTTAAAGCACGAGACAGCCGAGACAGCCCCAGGTTCCATCCATCCGTCCCAGTATGACATTCCGGGGCATTCGTTACAATCATGTCTGCTACGACCGTGTCCACTAGTGATATCTCTCTGCAGCCGCTGACGACCCCCTTTATCCCACCGCCCGGCTGTGGCAACCAATACAGCACCACGGATTATCTGCTCTACTCCAAACATTCGTATCATCTGTCTGTCTCGAAGGAACTTCCGTCTTGCCAACCATCCGGATGGGGTGTGAGCCAGAGCTCCCGCTTTGAATATAGCCCCGCCGTCTGTCCCGCCGGGTGGACGGCGTATAGCATCGGGGGGACGGTGTCGTCGGCAAGCCCTATGACAGCGGCAACACGCAGTGTAACCACCGCCTTTTGCTGCTCCGAGTGAGTGACGCTTGATTCCTTCTTTTCCACAGTCCTCAAACGCCAGGCGACTTTGCTTCGATCCTCTTAGCCTGTTCTCTTTGGTTTGGTGTCGCTTCCGCTGGCTGGTAGATGCACCCTTCCACTAATTATGGAAATAGGAGGTTCACCCTTTCTACCTTATACGGCCTGCCAATCCCCGGCACCTCGCTACCGGCGTGTTTCCAAAGTGTGTCCGCCACCACGGCGTTGCTTCCCCGGCAAACCATCCCGAGCCCGGTACCGACGGTACGCATGCATGAGGCATGGCACATCACCTGGGCCTCGACCGATGTGCCAACCCTTCATCCCCCACCGCCGGATATTGGTGCTTGTACTACCCTTGCACTGAGCTCCTGGGTTCCGGGCGCCGCGGTGGAAGGCGGACTGCTATGCGAGTCCTCGAGTGGAGAGCCCCCGGGGCCGACCAACACCAACAACAGCGAGAATTATCATGATAGGGGGTCTGACACGGCGACAAGGTGGTTTCTCATTGTTGGACTTCCGATTATTGCGGTTTTCGCAGTCGTCGGGTGCTGTATATGTGCTTGCTGTCGGCAAAAGAAGCGTAGAAAGAAGAGGCTGGAGCCTTCCAATCAGCAAGCTTCTTTGGCTTCGCGAGGATGTCGAGGCTCTCCCTAAAAGGCTTCGATGCCAGGAATTTTGGTGGCCCGAAAAGAGTTAAAACCACCTCCTGAGATCGGGACGGTGGAGTCACTCCTGATACTTGGTAGGAGACTCTGCAGCCAAGCGATATAATTCGTTTCACTTTTTCTGCTGTCCAAAGGGGGAGTATTTCGTCTTCGCTCCCCTTGATATCTCTCCAGTGATCGCCGTATTTATCCTCGTCGGAAACTCCCGATGATCGGTCTCTGTTTATAAAAAGCTAAACGATGAGAATATTAGAAAGACAGCCATAAGAAGAGAGACTAAATCATTGACTTTGTACGCACAGAACCAAAGCAAATTTCCGACACCAGGTTAATATCCAGAGTTTCAAGCATTGTGGTGGGCTCCTTAAGGCCCATCTTGTGTGCTGTTGCTGGGTCCTATCCGCGTAGGCCGCAAATTAATGGCACTTTTCAGGTGAAGTATCCGTGAGGCTGCTGTCGGGGAATGGCGAGACCGGCCCTAATATATGCCAGACCTCCTGGTGCTCTGGCCAATTTGGTGCTACTAAGATCACGTGTATGAGGTCTCAGCTTTGCATTGTCCAGTCAGATCGTGTGAACAGAAGGCGAATTCGCCAGCACGCAGCTTCCAGAATGCTGAGTTCCCAGGATCATGCCTCAAGGCTCACGAGAACGCCATGCCACTATCCAGGTTTTCTTGTGCTCCCAGGAACCCGTCCGAGACTCTAGAGAAGCATCTTTCATGTCCCGAGAAAAATGCTTGAGGTCCAAGGAGGCCAAAAGAGCCCGCGATCGGTCTGCTTGTCCACCAGAGCCACTAAGGCCAAACCAGTGATTACTATGCTTAATACGTTCTTGTTTGCCCGCTGCTTGCTCTGCTCATTGTCTGCATAGTTCGCTCATAAGACTTGCCAAATCACATGCAAACGTAACTTGTTAGTTATCCACATTCCCTTACTCTCGCAGTTACCGTTATTGGGAGCACATTGAACAGAACCATCTGGCCAGGTTTAGTCGGTGCCACAACGATTTGGAACATGTATGTTATGAAACCTATCCACAACATAGTGTGGATTATCAAGAATATGAAAAGAGATTCATCTACAAACCACTGGATGATCATCTATATTAAATATGGAAAACAATAGAGAAGGCGTATGCATGAACTAGTAGCTATCAAATGCTCGACTATCAAAGTATGAAGGTTGCGTGATTGACGTGGCTGAAGCTGCATGAGTGGCAGACTGACTCTCAGATACGTAGTTTAACCCCATCCAGGAAGTAGGTACCATACCTTCGTCGAGCAAATTGGACTTCTCGCTGCCTTGAATGGATGATAACGCAACACTACCATATAATGCTAGTTGGTCTTTGATCTCTTCTGCTTGGGTTGCATGCCTGTACACCATATGAATGACCTCAATAGTGAGGGCAGGCCGCCTATAGAAAGTAAGGAAACTGGTAGGGAGAAGTGGGTAATTGCTGCCCCCCACCAACACAGTATATAGTAGACTCTGCGCGGAACAGGTCTTCGGTATATAACGCTGAACGCGGGCAAGATTGATGGCCAGTGCCTAACCGGCCCTAGCCGGCCAGATAAAACTTAAATAGCCTGGTTATCATTGAAACAGGGCAAAATGCAGATGGGCAGTCACATTCTCAGACGTCCAGGATTCGCTTGAGAGCTGCGCATCTTACTATTTTGCATCACATAGTCCGGTGGATTGACAAGAGTCCTCACTGTCTCGTCAATCTGTAACATACGTGTTCGTACAAGGTGTAGATGTCTCTTAAAAGACGCGAAGTGTCTAGTGCTTGTGGCGTAGCGTATTGAAACAGCCTGGGGAACGCACTTGTAACAGTATTACATGAGTTAACACCAACATCTTACCGAGGCGTACTACTTTGTGTATACCGTACTGTCAGGATCGTCCATCCGCTTAATAGAATGCGTAGTTCCTGTGTCCCGCAGCACTTATAATTGTACCAGACGTCAACTCGATCAGGCTACCTCTATATCTCTTTTAAAGGATAGCCTAATAGACGTAACCGCCCACGTGTCCTTGTTTGGTCTCATATGTCTAATGGGAATGAGAGGGGCCTCGTACTGTTGAGGTTCCGGTGCTGTTCGCCCCAAAAGCGTTTATGAACTGGGTTTGTGAGCCCTTCACTACTCTCGAAGAGCACCACAGAGGAATACCTCTTGAATGTGGGCTTGTAAGTTAGCTGCTACTTGGAAAGAGCCTTGATTTCACGATAATGTGCCATACATTGCAAGTGAGTGCGGCTGTGAAATGTCGTTCACGGACCCGGTGAACAACGACGATCGTTGGTCGTGCGATAGCTATGCACTGGTTAATAGTTATCTGGGGCTTGTATTATGGTCTCAGTGATACCGGCGAATGTTAGTGCGAGTGACTACCAGTTGCCGGTGAGTGGGTTCGAGAGTGACATACCGAGGGCCAGCCTGGCTGCAAGGCTACTTTCCTCTGGCTTCTGAATCTGTTCGCTAGATGCATGTCCCACGTTTCTGGTCCCGGTCTTTGTGTCTTGGCCAATACACTTGATTGACATGGACACCACGTCTACACGTCCGATCAAGCCTTCCGGCCATCGACTTTGGTCCGCTTTGGTCCAGAAGTGTCTAGGCCGTACAACAGACCCGGATTCGGCCATCTCTTGGCCCTGAATCTCTTGGCGACACACAAGTTACAGACCTTGCATATAGGCGATAGTTGCCCTTCCGTCATGGTAGTTCGGAAGCATATGGTATGGCACACAATAACAAGCATTCGATAGAGCCCTCTGTGGTTCCTCTCAGTCGTTAGATGTTCAAACCATGAGCCTATCGTTCACATACGATGACCAAGGACCTCAGCTCGCTGGCGCCTCCCCATTCACTGCTTAGTCATTAGCAGTAACGTATTCGGTAAGCGAGTCGGCCACGTAAGCGAGTCGGCCACCCCCATCAAGAATCACCACCCCTTTGAAACCAAGGCTATTCAGCCATCCATATCACCACGAAAAATGCCCAAATCATCAAAATCCTTGGTGGAACGAGAGGGGAGGATCTCCTTAGCAGTTAAGGCTATTCAGAATGGCCAAATCAAATCAGTTCGTGAAGCTGCTCGTGTCTTTGAAGTTCCCCGGTCAACACTTCAAGATCGTTTGAATGGAATCAAATTTCGCAAGGAAACCCGCGCCAATTCCCATAAGTTGACTCCTATAGAGGAAGAATCACTTATTAAATGGATTCTCTCATTAGATCAACGTGGTGCACCGCCAAGGCACTTCCAGGTCCGTGAAATGGCTACAATATTGATCCAACAACGTGGTCAAGATACAACTTCCTCAGTGGGAGAGAAATGGGTATATAACTTCATTTCCCGCCATGATTCCTTGAAAAGTCGGTTTAGTCGTCAAATCAATTATAAACGGGCGAAATGCGAGGATCCTGAAGTTCTTCAAGCCTGGTTCAAACGCGTGCAAGCCGCTATATCAACTTATGGTATCGCCAATGAAGATATCTACAATTTTGATGAAACCGGCTTTGCTATGGGCCTGGTGGCTACCGCGAAGGTAATCACACGATCATCCTGTGAAGGAAGGCCCTTTCTTATACAACCGGGAAATCGAGAATGGATAACTTCAATTGAGTGTATCAACGCCTCCGGATGGGCATTACCAGCATACTTAGTGTTGAAAGCAAAGACTCATATTCAGGCCTGGTATGAAGGTAATACTCCAGCTTCATGGAGAATTGCTATATCATCAAATGGATGGACAACACGAGAAATTGGTGAACACTGGCTCAAAGAACACTTTATTCCTTATATTAAGGACCGAAGAACTGGCCAATATAGCCTCTTAGTTCTTGATGGGCATGACTCTCATTTAACACCTCAATTTGATGATATATGTCGTCAAAATGATATTATTCCTATTTGCATGCCTGCAAATTCCTCACATCTCTGTCAACCTTTGGATGTGGCCTGTTTCTCACCATTGAAACGAGCTTACAGTAACCTCATTGAACGGCTTGTACGAACAGGATATCACCATATTGATAAGGTTGACTTTCTTGACGTCTACCCAGAAGCCCACGCCCAAGCCTTCAAGAAGATGAATATACAGAGTGCTTTTAGAGCCTCAGGATTAGTCCCTTTTAATCCTAACCAGGTTCTGGATAGCCTCATCTTTTACAAGGAAGACAGCCGTCCCAGCAGTCAAGGCACTACATCTACGATTACCAAAACACCGATAAATTTGAATCAATTCAAAAAGCATGAGTCGGTGATCTCTCAATTACTTCAAACAAACCCTCCTACCTCACCAATACAGACAGCAATATCTTACATCTGTAAAGGTGCAGAGATAGCCTTGAACCATGCTATTCTTCTTGAACATGAAAACCTTCAACTTCACCAGGCCATTGAGAGACGAAAGAATAAGCAGAAGCGTAACCAACACCAAATGAATGGTTTGAATGGCTTCACAATCCAGGAAGCACTTGAGGCATTCAACCATGTTCAGGCCTTAGAGGAAGCAGCTGGTGATACAGGGCCTGGAGATGATCAACCACGCCGTCGGGCACCACCTCGGTGCAGTATGTGTGGTGTTTTAGGACATATACGTACAAGATGTCCTAATCGAGTAGCTGCCTGAATTCAGCGCGTTTTAATGGTTAGATTAACGTGGAATAACTTCCTTTTTTGTATGTAAATCAGAATTCTAGGATATGCCTTGACCGGGTGGCCGACTCGCTTACATGGCCGACTCGCTTACCGATTACGTTATCGGCCGTTGCTGCTTTGGATCTGGACGATATGTCCACTGTTCGCATCTTCATGTCGTACACGAGCATATTCTCTGTTATGTTCTGCTCAGTTCTGATCAGCTCCGACGGTTGGAATGGATTCGACATGCGCCACATTAAGACCTTGTACTGGTCGTTTTCCGGAGGGGTAAAAGGTGTTGCTTACTTTCTCGTCTTTTAGGCGCTGTCGGGTCTCTGCTGCCAGCCTCTGTGGATTGCGCGCCAGTTTTCTGAAGTGCTCTGGTAGATCTCATTGAGGGGGTTTCCTGGGGCAATGCGACATGTGCCGAAGCATCAGGTAAACTTTGTAGTGGCCGGACAACCGAACGGCTAGGAAGGGGACTCAGGCCATAATTGCCACCATTGGTCTCGACAAGGCTTGTAATTCGTCCTGGAGAAAAAGTACGTGTGAGGTTCAATAGGAAGACCTAAATAGTTTAAAACTGCATATTGCCATTAGATGCAACAAGCCTGCGCATGAATGCACCAACCAACCGGTATTAATGACGGCAAAGACGCCATATGCTTCATTTGAGCGCCCAGGACACAGCTCCCGATCTCGGAGTCATGAATATGCTACCCGTATCACTCTCGCGTCACAGTATCTGGAATCTGTAATCATAAGCAAAGCGAACGAAACGAATATCCACCCCATCTACCGGATTACATTTACCTATCGCAACAAATGAACAAGGAGGCCGCATTCCGACATCAAAGGCATCGAACAGGTGAAATATCTCGAGTCTGCAGGGCCTGTTTCCATTGAACTCCTAGAGAACTTTCTTGCTCTCTCGACGGTCTGATTAACGAAGGAAGTAATCAAGCACCCTTTCACTTGAGAGCGTGAGACCGATATTGCTAGATGGGGGACCATTTGCAGTTTAAATAGTCTCAAGGCATTGCTTGTATTCATGATGTTACCGAACGAATGCAGCCATTGAGTCTCTAAATCTGGGGACGCACAAGGATCCCCAGAGCCAGTTTGGGCTTCCTAAGATCTACGACTCCTCTCTACTGCCATGAGTAAGCTATGATATCACATCGGCGTCTTCCGTGCGAGCTGTGGTATACGTATACTTACACATGTACGACGTAACGACCATCACACCAGCTATGCCCACATGTTGCTGGGGCATTGTCCTGTGCTTAAGCCCATCGGGATGCTTCGGACAACGAAGAATAGAGCCTCACGGAAGGAATTTACACGGATTAGGACGAATCCGATATCCCTCTATACTGTAGATCTCAAACCGTTCAGGCTATGACTATCACAACTAATCAACGCTACATACTAATTTTCGATCTCATTCATCCACTTGGTGATCTTCAGCGTTACGTATTTTGGCGGGGAAGATTGGCACGCCATTCTACCCGTTAAGTTTTCGAAAAGAACGTCATAAGATGTATCAATTGGCTTGCGCCGTTTGGCGTTCTGAGGATCCCTTGACTCCTGAGATATCCGGAGCTGCTCCCATGAACATCTGAGCTTGTGCTGTCTTTCGACTGAGAAAGCCCACCAAAATGTCTTGTAGAATTTGTGCAGCGCGATCAACTATAGCAAAACCCTACTGGGGAAAGAGTCCGCGGGCATCAGAAGGAATGGGAGGAGCTCGACCAATACGTCTCTTTCCTGATGGCAGTGCCGGGCTTTGGGGGAGTGTGGCGGGCGAAAATAGACAGCGAGTGGAGAATCGTTGAAGGGGGCGATTATTAGTTGGAGTGCAGTTTATTGAGGCTACTTGCCCAGTGCGCTCAGCCTTCCGCTCACCCTGTGCTCAGTGATTGCCTCAGGCTGCTCAGGGCGCGCTCAGATCGTGCTCAGATCTACTCAGTGAGCAAAAAGCAGCGAGGGGTGAGCACTAAAACGGAAAGAGTAAGCTATCGACCGTCCTAGAAAATCAAGTACGTATGCGACCTCTCTCTAAAAAAGAACAAAACGGATTTCTTGCAGCTCTTCAGCCACAACTGGCAAAGCTAAATTGATACCGAGTCATATCTTCAGTCCACATTGCACGGAAAATGGCCTATTCCAAGGAAGGCACTCGTTCGAGCAGTTGTCGAAAGTCAGTGTCCCGCATAAGTATTTCCACGTTCCACGCTGCATAATCTACCAATACAACTTTCAGTTCGTACTTGTATTCATTCTCCTCAAATACAAACTTCAGCAGCTCGACGATATCTCCAGTTCGTTCTTCACAGAGCGTAAAGCTGGCCAGCGAGCGAATAAGCCGATAGAGCGACAGAGACCAAAGCGGAACCCAGTGCGTTGTGACGGCGAGACGATACACTTCCGCGTGGCTTAGAAAAACGCCCACATAATTATCTGCTGGATCGGTGTTTGGGATTTCTCCATCTTCATCCAAGGGCTCTTTGTCAAGGTTCTTCTTGATAAAAGCACATATATCAGGTAGTTTCGAGGGATGGAACATATTTTCTTGGTGGTTCAAAGGATTCCATCGTCTGGCGGGTTCCTGACACGGTGGCTGGCTGTCGCTGGGCTCGTCGTCATCGTCCCCATACCAATCGGCAGTCGGCAACAGAACGGAGTAATCACCAGAATATACAAACTCACAGCAACGACCAAAGACGATCTCATCCACTTGCCCATTTAGGGGAGGCTGAAGTATCTCCTTTGGGAATGAGCTGGCTAATGCTGCATGTACTGAGAACCGTCTTCGGCTCTTACCGATGACGAAGTCTACTATCCCGGATTGCATGATCCTGCGGATATGTTAACTGTGAGGGCCAACAGCCACCAGCCGCTCTGCAAGATTTAGGACCTTACGCATGATAATCAAGAACCATCTTTGCAAGCAATAATGGGCCAAGAAAAGCGATCGGAGTTGAAGATGGTACTTCGATTGGACAAAGATGTGTCTGCTGTTCGGAAGAGCTTGCTCTGGTGAAAACGTCGATTGAGAAACGACGCGCGTAGTGTGTGTTATCTCTTAATTATGTTCTTTTTATATGTGTGTCTAACGAGTGATGCCCTTCTATCTTTCTTAGCCCTGAAGGGTGCATGATGCCAGGTAACTACGGTTGCGGCTTTTGTGATCCCGCAGCGGTAGCCCACAGCTACGCATCCAGATCCTAGTGGTCGAACTGGTCATAACCCTCAGTGCTGAGGAATCTACTAGAGTACTACGACCACAGCCTCCTTCGGCCGCAGCGGGATCGTGATTGGAGACCCAGAAGACCGTTACAACTGGTAGCTGTCAAGATCCTAATCTGACTCTTGGCCCAGTGTTGAGCTGAATGAAGACCTTCCCCTCTCCCTCAGTAACTGTGCTGTGAGAGCAAGGCACGTGAAAGGAACACTGGTCCGTTGGACTTTGCAGACATCGGTGAAGGTCACCCTTAGTGTAAAATCAAATGCAATGCATTCTTGGGCCAGGTAGGAGTATCTTCTTTGAACAATCATCCAATCTGCGCTTATTTTTCTCTCCATTTGGCTAGAACTCTATCCGCCTGGTCCCATAACCTGAATATATGCTTCCACTCCATTTTATGAGTCTTTTGATCCTGCCAGTTTATAATACAGGATCGAGCAAAGCCAAATGCTCCCGCCCAATAGTCGCATCGCAACCAGCCTTTTCGGACGGCACATGTTAACTAGGAGTTGATCTTGAGGATACTGTCGACGATCCTTAGGATTACTGCATCCGTTGGTCAGCGGCTCGCATGAAGAGTACTCAACTGGAGTGTTGTACCTTAAGGCAACAGGCGTCTAATCGGATGTCCAAACGATCAGCTCGATTGTTGACACCAACTCGATTGTGCGACGATCGCTCCACGTCAGCTTCGCGACATGTTTTGCATCCTGAAGGCATTCAAAATCCTCATCTTTGAAAATTCGCGATGGACCATTGTAGACAAGACTGTCTCCCTCCGCCAAGGCGATGTGGTGTGCGGTGTACGCATTGAAGCATTTTAACATGTCGTATACGACGGGCACGTTCTTTGACCAAGCCCTATCGACCGGATTCGCACTCCGCTGGCCTTCCAGAGTCATCTCCTCTGCTCACATGCGCAGCTTTCCGTGAAGACATATCTCAATAGAATTCTTCGCCACCACAGATACTCTCAGTTCCTCGACGGTGGCCAAATAGATTAGAGCAGCAGTCAGTACCGCCCGAGGTTTTCCTGATGCTGCACATATTTTAACCCAGTCCTCGAGGGGTATAAAGCGTCCTCGACTGAGGCAGATGGTGCACCCATCGCGACTGCTTATATGTCTCTTCGTTGTCTTTATCGGTGCCATCTCTTCCCGGCTGAGTGTACAGACGGCTCTTGGTGAGCAGCGGTTTGAATCAAGCTCGGTGGTGACGTGAGCGCGGACGAAAGACGTCGTTATCAAACTGGTGGCCTAAGGGTTATATATCCGGTGATATTCCACCAGCCCCGACTCCTTCATTCTCATCCTTGCCGATCCATTCTATTTCCACTGCGCAAGAAGGGCCTGACAGGGATGAAATGTGTTGAATGTCTCGTTCCCCCGTCGTACGATGCAGTTATACTACTCCCTGGAATGTATCCATACGGGATCCGGGCAAACCAAACGTTACTTTTTCCCCTTGCTGACAACTACCTTAGTTCGGATGGTATTGCTCTGATGCTAGTTTCACTAAGACACGTGGATGACTATCAAGCGGGATGCCTGGAAATGTCAGATAAACGATACGCAATACGCCCTTGATCAAAGACGAGGCAGCTTAATGAGACAAGAGTAACATGGAATGTGTGCGCCTTGCTGGGCAGAGTTGCAAGACGTAACAGGTTATAGAGACGAATACCACAGTAAGAAAGAATGCCGCGAGTGTGTTGCCCCGGGACCTGCTAGGTTTTGTGAGTCTGACGCGACATGCCTCTGCACTGCGCCTGGACTACTCTACGTTCTGAACTACTAAAGTTATACGGGAAACGCAGGTGATCATCTCTGTTAGAAGTTCCAATCCCATCAAGAGAGAAAGCCAGTAAGAGGTATCTGATTTCATGAAACTACTTATTAGGTTGATTATACGTTCTAGAACAACTGCCTCATACCCAATTTGACAATGAGAGATGGGCATGTCGCCGCAGCTTTTTCATTTCCGCTTCCTAGTTCCGGGGCGCTCAACGGCTAATTGTAGCTGCGCAATGCTGGCAAAGCAGAACCCATGCCACCGTCTTGAGGGCTGCGATCGCACTGAGGGCGCTAGGCTTTAGTCTTCCGCAGCATGTCCCCACTCGAGACCTTGACCAGTAGTACCTCTGTGGGGCTAACACCTGTGCATTGAAGGACCTCGGGGGTAGGACTGCCTGTTGGCGAATCTGGTTTCGGCTTCTGCAGAGACTCACAGCTTTACGTTGCCGTTTTTCATGGGTAAGGTTTCTGGGATAGCTGCCTCATCGTTCTGCTCCTTTGAGACAGCCTGGCAAGAACGCTGTCCTTGCACGAAGGCGGTGAAACTCTGAAATTAAGGGAATATTCTGTGCTTTTTGCATGTACGAAAGTCTCATGAGAAGCTGATGAAGCGTGGCATGTCAGATTGGTGATGATATCATATTGTTCAGAATATTGAAGATAGGAACCCACAGACCTTCTTGTCTAACATCATAAAGAAAATAACTCAAGAAGAAGTCGTACAGCTACTGTAACCTGCGAGCGACAAATCGTTTCAGCTTAGCCAGACAACCTTGTCCATTTAGAGGGGAAGAGCACGGTGGGACATCCTCTGCATGTTGGTAAAGTGCAGAAAGCTTTGGGAACCTCATTTCGCAGCTGGGGCATCTGTAGAGCCAACCTCCGTGCTCGAGATCATCATCAATATACTTCCGGCTCTGGTAACAATCATGGGCTATATCATCAATGTCCTCCTCGGTAGTATCCGATGCGCAACTTCCAGACTCCAGATGGATTAACATTCCGGAAAATGACTTAAAGTTTTGGTAACAACCGTAGCATTCCAGGTTTCGAGGTTGATGTTTTTGTTGATGCTGAAGAAACGGTACTGTTAGCAATGGACGTATTAAACTTTTCAACACTAGCCGGTGTACTACCATTTCCAAATTGTTCTTGTTCGCAAAGTAGTCACCACATTTGACACACAGGTGGTGCCGGGTAACGTCGTGTTCTTCCAGTTGTTCAACAGAATCGTAATAGACATTGCACTGTGGACAAAAGTGATGAGACTTCACTAAGTGGTCTTGAAGCTCTTCGCCGGTAGCAAAGTCCTGTAGTTGAGGACAGGTTGAACAGACATTATGTCTGCTGGAATTTCGAAGATGCGTGTTCTTCGCTTGAGCCGAAACGAAGACCCGGAAACACCTTTCACACCATTGATGTCGTGATGTCTGCCTGCAATGGGCATAAAGTGCAGATTCAGAGCAGAAGAATCGTTCACAGATAGTACATTCGTAGTTCACACCATCACACGTGAGATACGGGCCCAAATCCATATTGAATCAGCCGAGCCAAGCTGCAGATAGCCACATAAGAGAAGAAGGGGGAGGATCCAGATTGTTGAATGACTATGGGGAGATGGAGGGTTTGGTGGACGTGTTGAGGCTGATGCGAAGTGTGTAGATAGTAAGAGTCGCCTCGGAACGTGGATGGATAAGGCGCGAGCCAAAGTAGGCTCCGTCGATATTATAGATCAGAGACGAGGATGCAACTGGAATGCGGGGCGAAGGCTTTTTGCCAAATCATGTCTTTCGATTTGCCGCTGGGCTGTGCCAGACCATACAGATCAAGCCGTTTGCCGCTGATTCACGCAGCAAAGGCCGATTACTACTAAAAACCTCGTCATAATCCAGCATCGAACAAAGACACACGCCCCACTCCAATAGTCCCATCATACCAACCTTTCTAGAGGGCACAGGTTCACTAGGTGTCGATCTGGAGGGTACTCTCGATGAGCATAAGACCGCTGGATCTGTTGGTCAGCGGGTCGTCTCAGGCTATCTCCACGGGCACATTGGCCAACGAAAGGTTCACGGAGGCCGAAGTCGCTTTGAAGACGAGACACAGTCGAGGATGAATCAATGATGAGGCAGAGAGGCCGATGCGCTAGATTCTCAGCGTGATAGGTAACTGCTAGGACACCCGTGGCGAGGCACACTCTCAGGAAGTCTGAAGCCTTCTCAGGAGATTTGCCTGAGTTTTTAGGTCGAGGAGGGGCATAGGCTTGAATCCTGAACATCGAGGGTGGGGGGAATAGGGGGGTTGGTCTTCGATGTAGGGCCAGTTACGCCAGACCCGGCGCTCCTGACAGATATGATCCAAACATCGTGGTTGTGCGACCACCAGCGACGGAAGACAGCTAACTGTCGGCGATGAGCCGTCGTTTCACATCTGGCCAACCATTTTGTCCACCTCCTTTACTCATGTGCTTTATCACCGCCCTCCAACGTGTACCCGAAAGTATAGTTACCACGCAAACACAGCTCTATCTGTCAAGACGCCTGTCCAAACTCGGGGGCATTCTCTGCTTACTACCGAATGACTTCAATGACGAGGTACGTAAAACTGGGCGCAGCAACAATGGGTGTCATTGTCAGGGACAGGCTTCCCAATAATTGACCGATTATTTGCACAGCCTTCGTAGAGACGGCGATCCGTATGGCTCCCAGGAGGACGGGAAGACTGGAGACAGGTATGGTGGACAGTGGAATGTCGAATATACTGCAACCAACAATGTCTTCTCTGGTCAAATTTGTAAGGGAAAGGTGACTATCGGACACCTCGCATTTGCAGAGAGACGAATCAAGGACAATGGTAGGTACTGGCGTAAGGATGAAAATTTTCTCTAAACCTGCCGCTGATGTTGCAAGACCTTTCCATTCATCGCGATTGGCCGGTAAAGACGTATCGTCTGGGGACTGAATTTGCGGAGCCATGCTGCTCTGCATAACATCTTGAGTAGGTACTTTGCGTAAACAAGTTCGCGCTCTCATCCTCACCGCCGAAGTCCAGTTGCTCACGAGACAGTCCAAGCGTCATGTGACTAACTGGTGCACCTCAGGGTATCCACTTGAACGCTGTGGGGAACCAGTGGTGTACTGGAAAACAGAAACAGGAAACGAGTCATTATTTACTCAAACTCTTGACATAGTAGCGTAACCGTTTACCCTTCCACTAATCCCACTTCCAGCCTGCCCTGACGATGGAGAAAGAGCCTTTGAAGTTGACTTTCCCTTCAGTATCCTACACGGGTATGCTCAAGCTGGAGGAACAATTTAGGAACGTATCATCATCCACTCGAACAGACATGCAATTCGACTCGCTTGTCAGTCCTACAAATTCCAAGGTTGCTATTCCTCGGATTGCGGGCTCCCAGTCACGGAACGCATCCCGCCGTGCTAAGAGAGCATGCCTGGGATGCAGACAAAAAAAGGCCAAATGTGACGGCCACCAACCATGTCATCAATGTGTCCTTTTCGATGCCGCTTGCGAGTACGCCGAGGGGAAGGAAGACAGAACCAAAAGGTAGGTCCTTCAACCCGGCTGTAGGTCCCTCGAGTAACAATATGCAGACGCTTTGTAGAACTTGAAGAACGATTGAGTGTACGACCAGTTGCTGCGGCGGTTAAGATTCAAGGTAGATGTCCACGACCGAGAGGTGATCGATAGGGCTCTCAATCGGGTAGGCATATCCCTGCAATCATTGTATGCAATAATGCACTGGCGCATACTACCATAGTTCAACCCATCCTCATTTCTGGACATGGGAGGTAACTTGGAGCGGGAAAAACCGATGGCCAGGAGAGCAGGTGGCCAGCTCCGAAACAATCGGCGAGCAAACCCGAGCGGGCGAACCAACATTGATATGGAACGCCCAAGCGGTAAAAAACAGGTATAAGTCCGTTTAGCATAGGCGGCATAGGCTCACGTATAATGTGGCTCTCCTGCACATTGTCCAAACGGCACCACGCGATGACAGCTATATTTCAGATACCAATATATGACTTCAACTTCTTACCAAGCGAGCATAATGAGCTTCTTCTCGTGTAGCTGTTATTTTTGCTCACTGTAGGACTGGCAAAGTCTCTGTCAGATATTTAACATGCATTGTCCTACAGCGGAACAACTGGTCAATCAATAAAATATTAGTGGCGTGGTTGTGTCTGAAAGCTGCACACAGGCTTCTCCAGGCTTGTGAATCATGCGACGGATGCTTACACTTCTAAGTAGGGAGTAACTCAAAGCATATCAGGTGCATTTACCACGTACGAGACCAGCTATATGTAAGGCAAGACGCCACTAAGTATACTCTACATAGAAAAAATAGGCAAAGCCAGGCTTCAGCGGAACATTGTACTCAGATTGCAACGACTGCATACTAGACATACTCGTATACTTTCATTAGCGTCGCAGCCTCTTTGAGCGACGCGGTGGGGCCTCTGTAACGGTATCTTTTTCGAGTTCCAGCAAGCGCGGGTCAATATTTTCTGTCGCAGGGCCCACAGAGGAAGCGGGAGTGCTAGTGCCTGACCGTCCACATGATTCCAGAGAAGCGTCTGTGCTGTCAATAGAGGAAGTATCACTGCAAGTTAAGAGAGGTTTGCTTGGGAGATGTTTTAATTTGATCTGGATATCATATGAGTGCACATCAACGGCATGCGCCAAGAATTCAGTAGCCTTTGTGAACTTAGGGACATCGCAGCAGGCCGCCCAGGTACAGCTAATCCCCTCGTGCGCACGGGCGAGATGAACATCAATGAGATGGCGACGGAGTGAATCTTTTCGCTTGGAAGGGAATTTATGTGGAGGCGGATTAGATGCCGAACGACGCGACAAACCGCAACAGACAATGCAAACGTCCGTTAGGCAATCCAGGGCTTCTTCTCCAGAAGGTGGTGATTCTTCCGACTCTTCACGTTCAGTTTCATCTGCCTTGGTGTCATCACTCACAGCCCAGTTGATTGGGTTGCCTCGCCGGCTTGGTTCGCAGAGCTTCGAGAGCGCAACCATGTCCTTAGTAACCTGGATACGCCGTGCAAGTAACTTATCGGCATCAAAGCACTCCGCTTCAGGGCCATAAAAATTCTCCACTAGTCGCACTCGCTCGGGAAAGACGTATTCTGGAATAGGAATATCCCAGTCTTCATCATCGGAGTCGACATCTTCGCAACTTTCAGCATCAGACTAGCCAAGAAGTTGCTTGATCTGCCTGTCAACTTCGAGCACCAGCTCATTGTGAAAATATTCCTTTCTAGCTGTCTCGCGGGTATCCTTTGTCAGGTTCTTCCTTACCCGAGAGAGCTCCTTTTTCACTGCCTCATGTCTTTCATGCAGATGAGGGAACGACTCCCGAGCTTTCGCTACTATACCAGCTAGCGATCGCATCTCCTCCTTCAGCTCCCTCTGCTCTCGTCTAAGCTCCAGGATTCTGGGGTCATGGCAAATAGCACGTTTCTGCTGGTCGGTAAGACCTGACGGGGCAAGGGGATCCCTCTTCCTGAGCATGCTTCCAGCAACCCGAAGAAGACCTTCCTGGGAGGGTCGGAGAAGCACATGCTGGAGATCGCGGCCGATAAACTGTGACTGGTAATGCCTCTCGAAAACCGCGTCGCCGGACTGGCCTAACACTCTCTGCCGCTCCTGGCTTGTGAAGTTCCCTGTAAGGTCAAGTTAGATACAGTTTGAGGTTCTTTCATTTAGCAGAGCCATCTTCCACGCGGGAGGACATATGATTAACTTCATTGGCAATCCAGCGCCGGTAGTTATAATGGCCAATATCATCCTCAAACTTAGCATCTCGACCTAGTTTTTTGAGCGCTTGTCGGCTTGAGTCATACGTCATCGGCAATGATTCATGGAGCTCGTAGCCGTGCGGAGTGCGCTCAATATGTTGAAGGAGAGGGGTATCAAGGAGCTCTGGCTTCCACCGGAGGGGAAGATCTTGTTAGTGCTTTGGAACACGGAGCCGCCATATCAGCTCTGGAGTCAAGGCATTGAGAAAAGCCCCATCGCGGAAAGCTAGTGAGATAATTTGGTTGATTGGGCAATAAGCCATTTGATAATCACCATGCATGAAGAATTTAGTTCTGAGAAAAAGAGTTAGCCACAGCAACTAGCTGTCTATGGATCTGCTTACCCGTCAGCGCCTTCTGGCCGGCCTTTGAGGTTGCGAAACTCAATGATGGCACAAAGGACATCACGCTTGCTATCTGGGTCTTTAAGAATGAAGAGCTCAATATCGCCGTAGCAGACCGAGTCTGGAAGATCGTCGGCGGAAACGTGTTTGGGAAGGTCGCTCTGAAAAGTCTCCTTGCGTTTGCGTTTGCCCAGGGATGACTGTTGGCCAGTTTGGGAAGCTTTCTGGGGAAGCAGTACACCCAGTCGCGTTCCAGTGATGGCAGACCACAGTTGGACAATGGCAAATTGAATAATCATGCTCCCGTGACGAAAAAATCTCGAATACATCCAGTGATGGCGATATAAGATGCAGAAGACATTAACGTCAAGGGTGTCCTTCTTCTTCATACGCCTGGGGATCTTTCGCTCTGCGGGGAATACTTTATTCAGGAACTACCGCCGATGTTAATGCTGGAGCTGTTAGGACCAAGAATGAACAACGTACTCGTCGCATCTGTTCATAGACGTTGCCATTCAGACGGCGCCGTGCAAACAGAGCAAAGTATTGGCAAAGCCGTCGCCAGTACTCATCATACGACTGAAGAAGCTTCTGTCGTGAGGTCCTGTACATCCAATCGAAGAAATTCATGTAAATCGTCTGGTCCTCCAAGAGTAAATACTCCACGTAGTCCTCTTTTGAATGGATGCAAAATCTGTCAACGGTATGTTAAGGATGTACGATCCCTGCAGCAGTCCGAGAAAGCGCGTACGTACCTTCGCCAGTATCTTTCGACCACTGCAAGACCTTCCAATGTCTTGGGTTTGAAGTTCGGGGGTAGCCATCCAACGCTGCGGAAATGCTCGAGCCTGGCTCGAGTTTCTTCACAGAGGATCGGGTCGGTCCAGTATTGATGCTCATTAGGATCAGCAGGAGGAAGAGGAGGCGGTGACATCAAGATAATATGATTTAAATATAAGAGAAAGATGATTGTTTTCTGCAGTGATTCGAGCAGCGATCAACTTTCGGATTGACGTGGAGGCGTCAAGGTGGGAGGAAGGCGCGAGAGTGCGAGGGAGGAAAGGAAGGAGTGAGGATGGCCGGCATTTTATACTGCATATGGAAAATCCGCTTGAATTCGAGGGAGCTGGATTTGGCTGCTGAGGAGGCCATTGTCAGCGTCGCTTCTGGTCGTGAGTTTGAAACGGAGCGAATTCTCGCTGAGGATTGTCACCTCAGGACGGTGACTAAACAATGCTTGGCGGGTGCAGAATAGTTGTGTGTAGCACGTGCTTGAGTGCTAAAGCGGCGGCTCGCTGAGGGAAAATACAGGTGGAAATGCGGCCGTTTATGGCCTCAGTAGCAGTCATTTTCGGCGTCGATTTCACAGGTCCCCATATTCTAGCTGTAACTCTAGCTGCTACTGCTAGCATATGCTAAAGCTAAACCACATGCAAGTTAAGGATCATCTCCTGTCTATCTATCTACATCCTCAATCCAACCTACAATTTTTATCTCTGTCTTAACCTGGGGGAGAGAATCACAGTATGCTATACCCAGAATGCCCTCCCCCCTAACAACGACCCTAATCCAATCCACCCTCCTCAACGCCCTTTCCAACATCCTCGCCCAAATAATCGCCCAGCATAAAAAAGACGTAAGCCCCCTTAACCCTTCATTACAATGAGTCCTAAATAGATGATTGGCAGGGCCCATTCACACTCAACACCCTCGCCCTCCTCCAGTTCCTCACCTACGCCATTATCATCGTCCCCATTAACTTCTCCTGGCAGAAGTATCTGGAGGCGAGATGGCCCGGGTTTCCTGGGAGGAAGAGTAGGAGTCGGCCTATTGCTGTTGCTGGCGCCGAGGCGAAGGCTGGCGCTGTGGTTGTGACGGTTGAGCCGGCGGATCTGCTCCCTGTTAAGGAGAAGGTGGAGGAGAAGCAGCGGGTATCTGGAGCACGATCGCGCTCCGGGCTGGGTAATTTCCTAATGAAGTTCTTCCTCGATCAGACGGTTGGGTCGGTGATGAACATTCTCTTGTTTATTGTGTTGATAAATGTGCTCAAGGGGGTGGGGTGGAGCAGGATTGGGGAGTTGATCTATGAGGTACGCTTGTTTCTTTCGTTATAGGTTCTTTCTTGGAGGGTTGATTGATGTGATGAGGGTAGGACTTTGGGCCGATCATGATTGCGCGGCTTAAGTATCGGCCTGTTGTGTCGGCGCTGTTGTATACGGTTGTTCCTGTGGAGAGGCGCGTGGTGTTTGGGAGTGCCTGTGGGGTTGTCTGGGGGATCTATTTAAGCTTATATGCTGCTGTATAGGCGTGAGATAATCATAATAGAAGAGCATCTTTAATTTCATTATTAGCTAGGTCATATTCACACATTAGAAGTTTGCCATCTGTGAGATAAACTAAGCGACAGGTCATCTAAAGACGGCAATAGACTGTCGCCTGCAAGCATGTCCCGACCCCATGCCAACGCCTGATTCCATTTCAGCAATGAGTTAAATGCAATAGCAATCTATATCCGCGCGCAACAATCCAAGTCTAAGCAGGGAGTGCCTCGATCTTCTTCCCCTTCACGGAGAGCCACTGCACTGGAATCGCTCCGATTATCGAAACTGCCGACATGGCAACAGCAACATAGAACGACTCGGTGATGGCGTTGTTGTAGGCAACGAGGACTGCCGGTAGCACATCCTCGGAAACAACGTGTCGCAGCATAGTGGCACCAGTCCCTGCGACTTGTGCAGCATTGACACTCGGCGCCTCGATGGCCAGATTTTTGTACAGTTGGTTCTGGAATACGTTCTGCCCGACTGAAACGAACAGCGCGCCTCCGAGAGATTGGGTGAACATCACGATGGACGTCGCGCTGGGAACATCCGCGTCTTGAACCGCAGTCTGCACCACAATCATCGCTTGCTGAAGTCCGACGCCAATCCCAATCCCAGTCAGGGCCTGGTACCCTATCCAGACAGGATGGCCGGAGTCGACCTTCAGTGTCGATAGCATACCGGCCCCGATCGTCATAAGCACCGAAGAGATCAGCATGAAGGGCGTGTAGTAGCCAATCGAAGAAACCAGGAACCCAGAGACGAGGGACATCAGAACTGTTCCAAGCAGCATGGGCAGATTCATGATACCAGATTTGGTCGCCGAGACGTCTTTGATGGCTTGGAACCAAATTGGAAGCTGTACAACCGAAAGTCAGCCAATTCTAGATCACGGGCAGCGAGTCAATATGCACACGTACATAGTAAACAAACAGCATGAACGCAGCCGATACAGCGAAGCTATAAATTGCAGCACCCCAGACGTTACGGTTCTTCAATATTCGAGGAGGCACTGTACCATTTTCCTGCGCCCAATGCTGCCGAGCCGCGAAGATCACGATCAGAACTCCGAACACGACGAACAGAGTGATGATACGGGCATTGCCCCAATTGTACTTGGTGCCTCCCCATTGCAGAGCCAGTAGTATGCAGATGATGGCAGGGAAAAAGACAAAAAGCCCTGGCAAGTCAAGCCGCGACAGCTGATCCTTGAGACCCGAATTATCCTTGTATGATTTTGGCGCCTTGAAAAACAAAAGGACGAAGAGCCAAGTCAAGCCCCCGATAGGCAAGTTGATATAGAAACACCATCTCCAGGTGACATGGTCGGTAAAGGCACCACCCATCAGAGGCCCAGCCACACTGGAAATGCCATACATACCACCCAACACGCCGGTGTAGATTGGGCGCTTCTGCAGTGGCACGGACTGGGCGATAATCAGGATCGAACCGGTAAATAATCCAGCAGCACCCAAACCGGCTACCGCACGGCCAATGATCAGCGCGACAGAATTAGGAGCGACACCGCATATCAAAGATCCAATTTCGAAGATCGCTATCGCAGTGAGATAGACCCATTTGGTCGAGTAGAACGTGTAGAACTTGCCGTATGGAAGCACCAGGGAGCAAGTGGTCAGCAAGTAGGAACTTCCATACCAACCGACATCATCCAAAGAGTTGAACTGATCTGTAATCTTGGGAATTGCCGTCGCCAGAATAGTATTGTCCTAGTGAAATGATTGAATCAGTTGGCTTTTCTCGCATTGGAGAGGTAAGATGGTCTAGGAGTACGCACCAAAGACATGCAGAAAATCACCAGGCTGATACTGGTCATGACCAAGCCCAGCTTCCATGATTTCAGATATTCTGGCTCTTGTTTTTCATCCCCGTGGCCCTCGCTATATTCCATATCCATTGCCTGGCTTTCACTGCGTCTCTCAGGAACAGGCGACTCGGGATATTCAAGCCGTGGGGAGGACTCCACTAGTGTGCTCTCCTTGTCGGATGATTGTCGTCTTCCTGGTGCGTGTAACTCAGAAGTGAGCTTTGTCTGTGAGCTATTTGGGCCAGGACCATGCGGCGAGTGGCTGCTCGCTGTGTTCTCCATGATGATGGGTAGGTATTGGAGTCCTTCGATATCAATGTCGACAGTAACTTGGAGCGACTGAAAATGACTTGCTCGTGAAGAGGAACAGTAATTTCACTGCTGATCCTAGATCAAAACAACAAGCCAAATGATGGAAGCAAGGTCGACCCCAGGCGTGTTTTGAATCCGCGCTGATCGACTTTGGACAAGGGAGCAGGTGGTGGCGTTTTGGCTGCTTTGAGAAGTAATGGACAGATATTTGACTGTACGAGCTGAAAAAGGAGACAAATCACTCTCAGTCCATGGCAGAGTACTGGAAATGTTAAAGAACAGAAGAGCGAGCAATGACTAAACGCGGATTGTTTGTGCAACCTGCCATTCACTGGCTGGCCAGTCTTTAGAGCACACCCAGGTACCTACCTCAATGCTGTCGCCATAGCCTTACTTACATACCGGGAGTTATGCTCTTTTCCATCCGGTATGGTACGCAAGCAAGTAGACAAAAATAATGCAATCAAGGAGGAGAGATGTACTGACATGCTGCCAAGTATCCGACCAGGAGATGTATCCATCAAACAAAGGTATGCATTTGCCCAAAAGGGCGATTAATATCATCTAATGCATTCACCCTATGCCTTAAGACCCATGAAAGACCGGATGACAAACTTCCCTCCTCCGAGAGCAGTATGAATGTCAATCCTTAATCTAGATACCCGGTGATCCTTGCGCACATCCGAGTAAACAATGAAGCATTCCGAAAGTAGTTCCGGGTCTCAAGGACGCGTCAACGTGTAATCTCTCCCTACGTTACATTCATCTCCAATTTCGAAGCATGGACTGGCCCTTCTAAGTCGGACTCTACAATTGCCGAGAGTCCGGGACAGATCATCTCAAGTGCCTCTCCAGGTACTTACCACCTAGTAGGTTCTAGCAGGTGCCATATGCAGGTCAACGCACCTCCAATCACCGTACACTTTGAGCCTAGAGGAAATAGTTCAAAACACAGACAAACTTCTAATAGTCACAAACATACTCGTTGCTTTTTCCATTGCTGATCATCCAAGGCTACTATCCCCTTGACTCGACATCAAGAACCCAAGTCCCAACCACATATGCATCAGCTTCCAACAGACATGATAAAGTACACCAGCAAGAATGGAACATATTCATCTCCATACCCATATCCTTATCCCTCTAATCGTTTACTAGATAACTAATCCACTCCAGGAAGATAATCAAGCAAAGTGCCTGTTCCATGATCATCCCTTGAGATCGACCTCACCAAGCCCTAGTTCGCCGCCCCTTGCTTGTGGCTTAGTTTAGGACAGAGACATGTGTCTATGATTCGGCGCCACCAGACAAAGCACATCAGACGATCGTATTAGAGGCTAGATTAGATAAAGGCCCAACCTTCCGTTCATTCTGCTGTGAGTCTGTGTCTATTATTACAGAAGATTTGTGCTTGTATGCTTTATCTAATCTCGGGAGGGCTTATTGTACATGGTGATAGATTTTGGGGAATATTATGCTGAAGTTAATGTGCGATTTGACGAGAATGAAGATTGAGAAGTAGGTACGTTGTCCGTACTCGATACAGGCTGCAGTATGCATGGCAGTATGCATGACTAATGAGATACATTGCAGAGTAATATCTATGTCCCATCATATGACAATAGTTGTATCCAAGGCTCATGTCCATTCTTATGCATTATTGAGCAGTCGTGTAACAATATTCCTCTATAGCTGAACGATGCAGAAAGAGTGAGATAGTTATTCCCCTCTACAATTACTCTTTCGATGATGAAGAGATCAGATGAGCATGGCAGATGAATGATTCCTAACTTGATATATCCCATAGTATGGGTAGTACAACGCCGCTAAATGACTATATTGATACACCTCCGGGCTCCAAGCCTAGCCTCCCAACACCAGATCCATGCAAGGATGAAGAAGTCCATGCACATGAGAGCTCGGCCGCTCGCTTCCCCCGCCGAATGCGAACTTCGGGTTTGATCTTGGAAGCGGGGGCTCCTGCACATCCTAGGCCAACCGCCACGAGTGATGCCGCCTAAGACTGGCAGCGTGAAGAAGTGTGCTTGACCAAGATTGCAAGCAGGTGCTTCATTTCAGTCAAGTGTGGAAAGATTGCAAAGACCATCGGCAGAACGCAGAATAGACAGTACTTCGTTTCGGCATTAGAATTCTATTCCTTTTTTTTTCATTTTTTCCTTTCGAAACTTCTATTTCGACCCAGATCCAGTTTCATTCCTGCTGGCGACAAGAGCAATCAGGGCAGCACCGACTCCACTGCCGTCTTTGGAAATGCCAATACGCACCTTCTTCTCGCCAGCAGCACCCACTTCAGGGACCTCCCGCAGAGCCTCGCGAATGTGTCCCTCAAAGTTAGGGTAGAACTCGACCAGACTTCCATCCACACCGATGTCGACCATGTCATCCGTCTCCAGTTTACCGGTGGAGATGAGGATAGCAGCAAGTGGCACAGCGCTGAGGCGGGCAGCACGCTTGCCAATTGCATGCACCAGGACTTTGACGGCCTGGCAGTCGGCGTCGCTAGGGTTCTCGATCTTCAGGTGATCCTTCAGAGCAGCCTTGACTTCCTCCATCCTATCGGTCTTGTCTGCCTCCACCAAGCTGAGGAAGCTGGTGTCGATGCCCCATTGCCTGTACAGGGGCGAGTTCTCCGGAGTGACAACTTTTGAGGATTGATTGGGCTTGAACAGACCGAAGGCCTCGTCCTTGTGCATATCAAGAAGAGCCCGGCGCAGGATCTCACCCAAGAACATACCCGAGACACGCTTTTCAAACATCTGGATGCCCGGGTTGTTGCTGTCCTCATCCAACTCCTTGTCCCATTTCGTGTTGGGCAAGACACTGAGGTGGTTATCAAAGCTGCCCCACTCGGCGTTGACGATCATCTCTCCGGTCGATGTCTCGTAATCCGAGTGTTCAATCGTCCGCAGCTTGGTGATCCGGTCGAGCTTCTCGACATAGGCACCGTTGGTGCCAGTGCCAAAGATGGCGCCAATGAAAGTTGAGGTATCACCGGGAGAGGTGTAGGAACGAGCCATCAGAGTCCCCACGGTATCGTTGACCAGAGCGGCCACGCGAACGGGAAGGTCCAGCTCATCAATGGCGTTTTGCAGGAGTGCGCAGACATCGTGACCGACTGCATCGGGGATGTTGAAGCCCTTCGTCCAGCGAATGAGGGTACCTTTGTTGATCCCCAACTGGCGCACAGGGAAACTGAATGTGAAGCCCAGGTCGAAGAGTTCCTCTTCATGGTTTGGTTCACGACGGCGTCTCAGATGAGCCTCAAAGTGTTCGTTATGGTGGATTCGCAGAAACGCCTCGATCTGGCGAGCTAGGAACAGGAAAAGATCCTTGGAAGTACCAGAAGCCATCAGTTCGCGAGGGATCATGATCTTCGACTGTGTGAGGTTGAATGTGGTATCTCCGTGAAGATCGATCGAGCAGACCCGGAAGTTGGTGCCTCCAAGATCAACAGCAAGGTACAAGCCCTGTCGAACATCTTCTAGTCAGTCGCCTGCCGGACTTTTTAGGTTGTTTTCACGAGAGAAACAAGTACCTTCTCAGTACCGTTCGGTACAGAAGTGACATAGGTAGGAATTTGGCTGAGTGTCGTGTGCTCCTTGGTGAGCCCCTCGCACATCTCTCTGATATACTCTTTGACACCACTCTGGATCTGCTCAGCAGAAAAGTCAAACTGGCGCGCAATGCGCGTAGCTTCGGTCACTAGAGGTGACGACATTGTGTATCAGATCGGAAAGAATTCTTTGACAAAGACGGGGAATCGAGATCGGGGAGGAAAGGAACGGGAGGAGAGGATGTGGAGAGGGAGTAAGGATTGAGGATGGGAGGAGGTTATGAGAAACTATGGAGAATGAAGACGGATGGTAAGAACAATGAGGGAATGATAATAATAATGTGAAGAAGAGGGTAGCAGGAGGTAATAATAATAATTTCGACTACAAGTGCCAAGGTGGAGGGGAGGAGGGGTCGATGAGGTCAGTGATCCTGGAGACCTCCATCCCACCAATTTCGGTCTGGTCATTGTTGGCACCGGCCGATGTTCACAACGGGAATAGTACCGGGTTCTCCGGCATAAGGTACTTGGATTACGGAGTACTACCTATTGTTACCCACTACTACAGAAGACGAAGCAGACGGTATGATAGTATTACCGTCTGGTTGAAGGATTGTGCTCTGTCCCTCCGTCGACGGCTTGCCGGCCACGTCGTCATCGTGTTTTATTAGGGACCTGGTTAGACTGGTTCAATAGTTCTAAAGCTAAGACTGACAGGAACTAAATAATCAGTGCTAACTCAGATAGGTAGACACGCATGACTGAAAGATCTGATGCTCATCCAATAATGATCCTTCTTGAGAGTCTATGCTAACATTTCTAGTTCCCTATGACTTTCCAGCCTCAACACTTTGACAAAGTCAATCATAAGAGGACAGAAACAAGATCTCCAGAATTTCTCGTAATGATCCCTCGATGTTTCTGTAGCGCCCTTCAATTTCTCTGACGCCACGAAACACTTGTGGGGTTATTGCTACTCTTACCGGTGAGAAACAATGGTTAGGACCGCAACTGGAGAACCTGGAGGAATAAACCAGAAATGCACGGTACCTGAATATGCATATGATGGGAGAAGGGTTCCTGAGCCTTGTTCATTCGCTGCAGTCCGTCATACTAGGGAGTAAGTATCTTGCATACTGACGAATCCTTCCTGTCGAATATGGAGTGGACGCGGAGAGCTGGAGACCCCTCATTGACCTCGAGAGTGGCCAGTTGACCTCGTGCCTGCGGGGTAATATGCCATCTCGAACTTTCATATTGACTGTAGGCTGTCGATGTACCTCCGTACTGATGGAGTATGTCCCTCCCGATAAACTGTTTCAACTCGTTAGGCACTCGTACAGAGTCAGGTACCTATCCACCAGAAAGGTAAAACTTTTCCACTCATGTCCGACTCCGACCAATGTCCGAACCTTGTTTTCCCGCTTCACTTTAATCTGCAAGCGACATTGAGTTCTATGGTATTTTTTTATAGGACATAGCACAGTTTGATCTATTAGGAGAGTTGATCAGATTCTATCTGCGATTCAGATATGATGGGCAATGGTCAAATATCGTCCTCTGCTAAGTCGGGACCTTAGAGAACCGCAATACATACTTCGATTGCTCCGATATACTGTGTAGCATCGTTGTTGCCAATGGTTGCTCTTAGGATATCCAGAAAACCAAACATAATTCATAATGTTTCAAAGAAAATCAGACAGCATGATGCATATCTATTGCTGTACTACTAGGATCTGCTGAAGCTTTAGTTAACTTAACGTATTCGGTAAGCGAGTCGGCCACGTAAGCGAGTCGGCCACCCCCATCAAGAATCACCACCCCTTTGAAACCAAGGCTATTCAGCCATCCATATCACCACGAAAAATGCCCAAATCATCAAAATCCTTGGTGGAACGAGAGGGGAGGATCTCCTTAGCAGTTAAGGCTATTCAGAATGGCCAAATCAAATCAGTTCGTGAAGCTGCTCGTGTCTTTGAAGTTCCCCGGTCAACACTTCAAGATCGTTTGAATGGAATCAAATTTCGCAAGGAAACCCGCGCCAATTCCCATAAGTTGACTCCTATAGAGGAAGAATCACTTATTAAATGGATTCTCTCATTAGATCAATGTGGTGCACCGCCAAGGCACTTCCAGGTCCGTGAAATGGCTACAATATTGATCCAACAACGTGGTCAAGATACAACTTCCTCAGTGGGAGAGAAATGGGTATATAACTTCATTTCCCGCCATGATTCCTTGAAAAGTCGGTTTAGTCGTCAAATCAATTATAAACGGGCGAAATGCGAGGATCCTGAAGTTCTTCAAGCCTGGTTCAAACGCGTGCAAGCCGCTATATCAACTTATGGTATCGCTAATGAAGATATCTACAATTTTGATGAAACCGGCTTTGCTATGGGCCTGGTGGCTACCGCGAAGGTAATCACATGATCATCCTGTGAAGGAAGGCCCTTTCTTATACAACTGGGAAATCGAGAATGGATAACTTCAATTGAGTGTATCAACGCCTCCGGATGGGCATTACCAGCATACTTAGTGTTGAAAGCAAAGACTCATATTCAGGCCTGGTATGAAGGTAATACTCCAGCTTCATGGAGAATTGCTATATCATCAAATGGATGGACAACACGAGAAATTGGTGAACACTGGCTCAAAGAACACTTTATTCCTTATATTAAGGACCGAAGAACTGGCCAATATAGCCTCTTAGTTCTTGATGGGCATGACTCTCATTTAACACCTCAATTTGATGATATATGTCGTCAAAATGATATTATTCCTATTTGCATGCCTGCAAATTCCTCACATCTCTGTCAACCTTTGGATGTGGCCTGTTTCTCACCATTGAAACGAGCTTACAGTAACCTCATTGAACGGCTTGTACGAACAGGATATCACCATATTGATAAGGTTGACTTTCTTGACGTCTACCCAGAAGCCCACGCCCAAGCCTTCAAGAAGATGAATATACAGAGTGCTTTTAGAGCCTCAGGATTAGTCCCTTTTAATCCTAACCAGGTTCTGGATAGCCTCATCTTTTACAAGGAAGACAGCCGTCCCAGCAGTCAAGGCACTACATCTACGATTACCAAAACACCGATAAATTTGAATCAATTCAAAAAGCATGAGTCGGTGATCTCTCAATTACTTCAAACAAACCCTCCTACCTCACCAATACAGACAGCAATATCTTACATCTGTAAAGGTGCAGAGATAGCCTTGAACCGTGCTATTCTTCTTGAACATGAAAACCTTCAACTTCACCAGGCCATTGAGAGACGAAAGAATAAGCAGAAGCGTAACCAACACCAAATGAATGGTTTGAATGGCTTCACAATCCAGGAAGCACTTGAGGCATTCAACCATGTTCAGGCCTTAGAGGAAGCAGCTGGTGATACAGGGCCTGGAGATGATCAACCACGCCGTCGGGCACCACCTCGGTGCAGTATGTGTGGTGTTTTAGGACATATACGTACAAGATGTCCTAATCGAGTAGCTGCCTGAATTCAGCGCGTTTTAATGGTTAGATTAACGTGGAATAACTTCCTTTTTTGTATGTAAATCAGAATTCTAGGATATGCCTTGACCGGGTGGCCGACTCGCTTACGTGGCCGACTCGCTTACCGATTACGTTACCCATCATGACTAATAATCTCACGTGACACTCCATGCAGAAGCATCAACTGCCCGAACTGAATTCAAGCCGGCGGAAGTCGGCTGTCCCAAAGGTGATGTCAAGATCTTGAACGACATTGCAATTGCCCCTCTACATTCCTGGCGGAGTCTACTTGGCTACCGTTCGTGCTGCACACATCGACATTGGAACCAGTTGACGAAGAGAGAGGATTCACAAAATCCAGACATCATGGGCGCCGGTAGCTCCAAACCCGAAGGTTCGACTGGCTCGAAACATGTTTTCACCAGGTATGCAATACAATGCGTCTCTGATCTCAATTGCTTCACTGTCGGACTGAATCGTGGCTGGCATCACGGCGATGCTATCGTTGAGTCAATACTCGAAGGGCCCGTTGCCGAGCGGACAAAATCCACGCAATAAAAACAAGCAGCAGAAAGCCCTACGGCCGAACCAGCCATCCCAATATAAGACCAATCCGCTGACTTCTCAATCCAACAGCAACGCTCCCATCCAATTCTCCTCTAACCTCGTCGAGGCCCTCCAGACCAACACCGAGGTGCGTCTCCGAGCCCAACCAACACACCCCAACACCCTTGCAACCCAGACTCCAATTGCACTCCGAACCAGACCACAACTAACAATCTGACAAAACAGACCGACTCCTCCCGCGCCAAGAGCCTGGAGCTCCAGATCCAAGCCCGCGTAGCCCAGGAACTCGAGCGCCTCCGCGAACGCGAGCAGCAAACCCTCGCCGAAATCGAAAAGCGCCTGGCAGAAGTCAAAGACAGCGCCCCGGCCGCCCCCTCATCATCACCAAACATCACCTACCCAGCGGGCTCGCTGAACCTAGACGCGCCGCGCATCCCCTTCGCGGGCCGCGAGTACGAGTCTACCCCTGCACCCACTGCCGCCGCCGACCAGCCCATCAACCGCGATCTTAGCCGGGAGTCGGTGAATGCGGAGATTGAGCAGCTGCGCGCTAAGCTTGAGGGACGGCGGAAGCTCGTCGAGGTGGATGAGAGTGTTGAGCGGGCGCGGAACGAGGTTGTGACCTGTTTGCGGTTGCACGATAGACGGCCGTTGGATTGTTGGAAGGAGGTTGAGGGCTTCAAGAGGGAGGTTGCCAGGCTTGAGGAGGCGTTTGTGGACCGTGTTGTCGGTTGAGGTTGAGGGGTTCAGATATGTGTCGCCATGCTGATGCTATTTCCTCTGTTGTTTTAACAAATAGATCTACCCGGTCCTTCTCGCGTCATGCATATGTATAGCTATCTGTCTTTTGTTGGGCTGATTGAAACGAGCTCAGCTTTGTTCTAGGTTTTCGTCTGTACGAGTCTTGACAAATGTAGGCTGCACGTATGCGAAGAAACGGGAGCTTCTGATTGAAAAGTTATATTCTGGTTGGGTATCATCAAAACACAATCACATCCCATCTGCACCGACTATACCAACTACACTCGCAGATATACTTCAGTGCTAAATAAGCTCCCACAAACCAAGTCTGCCCACTCGCTCGCCGGCATTACGGACAATGCACATTCTCCTCTCACGCGCCTTGCCCTTGCCAGACGCCGCAACCTTAGATACCAGGATCGAGCCAATCCCCGTACCCTTTCCTTCGGACAGGTTATAGTTCCCCGTTGTGACGAACCCGATGAGGTCTTCTTCCGTGGGGACGGGGAGGTGTTCCTTCTGGGACTCTGTATCTGCTGTCGGAGTGATAAGCGAAGCCGCGAGCTTCTGCCGGGCATCCTCTTGGGCAGCTGGGGGCTCGGCAGACTGCTGCAGATGGTCCTGAGGATGAGTGGCTTTGCGATTTTTGCTCTTTCGCTCGTCGGATGCCAGGCGGAGCCATTCTTGGCGTAGCTCTGGGTTGGTGGTGGGGAGGCGGTAGATGCGAGCCGAGGGGGTGGGCGAGCCGCGGTGCAAGAGGGATATTTTGACAGTTGCAATGGCAGCTTGCTCGGTGGTGTCTGACCGGTTGTTGAGTGCAGCTTCCGCTTTGGCAATGGGGAGGTGGTGTATGTCGAACGGGGGAGCGTGACCATCAACGGCTTGCTGTTCGGCATCACTCATTTGGGTATCTTGTTGCTCAGCGTCTTGGCTCTGTTCTTTTTCCTTCGCTTCATTAGATTCAGGCGTTGAGATCCTGGGCGGTCCCTGAACCAGTCTTTCCCAGTCGCACGCCCAGCCATGACCGACCTCGCCTTTCTGCCCATTCCCCAGATCTAGGCTAGCAAACTCGGTTCTCCGGCCCTTTGGCCGTCTTTCCCACTCCTGCTTGGCCTTCTCCCGTTCGCGGACGTTCCATTCCCAGCCAGCACGGGTTCCGGGAAAGTCGCCTGGGAACCAGGGCTCTCCGGCTTCGAACGCGAGTTGTCGTTGTTCTTTGAGACCGCCAAATCTGACATTTCCGCCACTTGAGAGCGGGTAATACATGAGCGAATACCAGAGCGGAAGCACGCATTTCCATGGCAATAGAACGGTCCATGTCCCAGGCGCATTGTTGTTCTTTGACTGACTGCTTGATCTCGAAGCGAGGATCATCACCGGAATCTTCGGGTCAGAAGCTTCAGCAGGAGGGTAGACACCTGGTCCAGCTAAGGTCCGTCGACGATTAATAGCTTTCTGGCTGGGAAGTTGACGAGTAGCGGCTAGTCTTGCACGGCGATCGAACAGGGCAGGTGACGTTTGGGTAGTGTCGGGTGACCACGTCGATAGTAAGATGGCCAGATTCTGCATTTCGGGATCCGAAGCTGGCGGTTTGAGGGTCCTCGGTGGAAAGTGAAGACGAGGATCTGATACTGAGAAGCCGAGGAAAGCATTTTGCGGCAATGACGAAGGGTTTGAGACCCCAAGCAACGATGTCCAGGTGACCTCTGGACTGCCTGCTGGCGGTTCAGCACCATCTGGCACCAAGGGCTTGAGCGCTGAGAGTAGAGCCTCTGTAGAACCCGGACCAGTAATCTCGATGCTTCCAATCTCGAAGCGCAAATCTTCCACCATCACTGGCGGATTTTGCCTCTTCGATATCTCAAGAAGCTCGTTCCACAATTGCAGAAAAGCAGATGGGTGAACTCTGATGAAAAGCTTCTTTCTATCCTTCTGCCTCTTTTTCTTCGGCCCATCAGCATCGACCATTTCCACATCTTCCGCTTTTCCATCCGCACATCGGATCAACGTTATCGGTGCGATCGGTCTATGTGTGCCGTCGCGCTCAAACGCCCATGCGTGTAAGCTTCTTGTCCCAGCCCTCCACTTCCTTCCCTTCGGACCCCAAGCATCCTGCCCATTGATCCCAATTCCCCTCAGCACCGCCTCCATAGCCTCCTCGGTGCCCTCTAGCTGAATCGTAGACATGTAGCTCATATCCCAAGCCACCGCACCCCTGGCACCCTTCGCCCGGTGCGAAGGCCTATAGCTCTTCTCGGTCGGCGACAGGGGTACCGCGAACCGCCACAACGGATCCTTCGAAGTGGCCATGTGGGCGCGCTTCGCATGGAACATATGCGTCGGAAGCCATGTCTTGCACCGCTGCCGTTTCTTGTACTTTGATTCGGGCGGCGGGGGCCGTGAGAGCTTGTTTTTCTTGATCTTCGGCACTCGCGGGGCGATGTTATAGGCGTGGCTGCCTGCCTCTTCCAGAGCCTTTTGGGTCTCTTTGTCCCGCTTTGCTTTCGCTGCCGCACGCTTGGCTTTTGTCTTGGAATTGAGATTCTGAAGCCGTCTAGCGGTTTCAAGGCGAATGCGCAGGATTTCTGTCGGTCGTCGTCGTCGAGCGGTCACGGTGGGGGTATTGTCCTCGATCATCTACACGGCCGGCAGTGAGCAAAGCTGTTCTGAATTCGGATTGACCTCGAAATCGGCCTACAGGAGTATAGATAGGTGCTTTCAACATACCTCTCTCTTCGCCCTCGCCCTCAACCTCCGCGGAACCCTCTTCACATTGTGGCTGGCCGTCCGTCTCCTCAACGCGCGGGGCACTTTCTGAAACGCACGGCTCGTCAGGGCACTCTTCGACCGTTGCATCCCGGACTCGAGAGCACGGATCTCGAACTCCCGAGCTTCGACATACGCGGCGACATTCAGCTCTCCGGACGCAGAGAGCGCTGCGTCGGACGACTGAACCGCGAGGGACCGAGCATCGAACGTTTTGGCGCGTTTGCGGGACGCTGCTGCGCCAGGCTGTGGTCCCGGAAACGCGGACTTGCGCTTTGAGGGCTGGCTCGAGGCCATGATGGCCGATGGGCGGAGGTGAGACACGGGTTGAGTGGTGTAGATGCCGTAGAGACGTATTATTTTTGTTGGTAGCTCAGGTGCAGCTTGGTGTACAAAAAAGTGGTGTTGGAGCTTAATTTTCGGGGCTTTAGCGCGTCATCCCTCCCGGCCGAAAAATACAGTGCCACGTTGTCACACCCCCAAGCACCAATAGCAGCCTGGGGAAAATGAAGCCCTGCGACGCTTTGATTCATGTAGATCTTCGGAGTGCCGGGATACTAATGTTTAATTACACTAAGGCTATAGTTCGCTTGTACTTAAACGTAGTTCCTACCTGACATCATACGGTTTGATAGGGCGAGGGCGGGGAAAATTTCTTCGTAGCTTCATTACAGCGTTGTATTTCTGTCTAAGCGGCATGTCTAAAGATCTATCACGAATCTTGCCCATAGCAGGCTACTCTTAGCCCGCAGGCTACTCTTAGCCCGCCATCGAAAAACTTCAACGCCTTTATTAATCCCATGCCGGCATCTATCATGTCTAGTTCATGCGTTTACAGGTGCTTGAGGACGGTCTCGGCGCTCGAGAACTATAGCATCATGTCAGCTCGTACTCAAGACTCTGGCAGCAATGGAATAGATGGAAGACTACTCACCTCGAGGTGGTTCTTAGAGGGCTCGAGAGCGGCGTAGGTAACCTTGCCGTGGTCAATGACGATGGCGTAACGCTTGGTGCGGCCCTCCTCATCGGCCCAGCCAATGCTCTTGGAGAAGCGAGCCTCGGGGTCGGAAAGGAAGAGCTAGAAGATCAGAGCATTAGCAACGACTTCAATATAGCGAAATCGCACTCTTCTTTTTTCGGAGGTGAACATACAATGTCGTCACCAGTGACCTGGTTGGCCTTGCCCCAGGCGCTCATGACATAGGCATCGTTGTAGGCGAGGACGGCAACAACGTCAACACCCTTGGCACGGATCTCGGGGAGCTTCTCGAGGTACTCGGGAACGTGGCGAGCAGAGCAGACGGGGGTGAAGGCACCGGGAAGAGCGAAGAGGATGACCTTCTTGTCGGCCCACTCCTTGGAGGCGTTGTAGTTGATGGGGATACCGCAAGCAGTGATCTCACCCTTGTCCTCGGACCAGGGGATGTAACTGAATGAGAGTCAATGTTAGACCTGATGGATCGGACATACTTTTGACGGTCGAGGGAACTCCAGAGAAAGGGCAGATGAGCAGAGAGAATACTTACGAGAAGACAACGTCAGAGGGGAAGCTGTCACCGGCCTTGAGTCCAGACATGTTGATGGATTGGATTTTGAGGATGTGTGTTAAGGTGAGTAGTGTTCTGGAAAAAGAGCTGTGTGAAGTAGAGATGAAGAAGAAGCGGTAGGCTAGAGTAGTGGGGTGACTTATGGAACTAGAAGAGAAAAGAAGACAAGGCGGGTGAGGGATCCATGGCGGTCAATATATACCAATCTGGTCCGTGGACGGTTGGAGCAGCCCCTGACAAAGCCAGCAAATGATGTGCCAACGGGCCGCTGGAGACATCCATAAGGTGATCCGAAGCAGAAGGATACCGAAACCCATCGATTGGGGGACGAACGGAATAATCGCTGAGTTGCTGGCATGGTGCGTATTATCAAGAAGACCGCCCGAGACTGGGAGGGGATCCCCACCACGGATCCCTTCATCGGCGGATGCACCACTTCTGGCTGCTATCTAGACCAGACAAGTTGACAAATCGGTTTGCACTGCAGTGAAGTCATAAGGAAAATTCTATTCGATGGCAAACTGGCAATTGATTCTAGATATCAGATTATCAGATCAGACTGGGTCCCCTCTTACACACGAAGTGATTAGTCGTCTATACGAATTGCCGGATTTTCCGTAAAGCAGAAGTGGTGATAAAATAATGTAGGTACCTTGCAGACTAAGACTTAACGATCTGGACTCGATCGGATTATGCTACCTATCTGCCCATTAATGAGGGGTCCGTTCGGTGATAGGTATTATTCTTATCCTCTGTCTTCACCATCCAAGGCGAAAATGGTGCCTTCGATATGCTGATCTCGCACCAATCATGATGATCGATCTGATGCAGCGACAGACTATGCAAATGACCCTCGAAGACACGCAAAAATGAGGCTACGTACCTCACTATCTCTGGGCTTCACCGTCCACTTTCCGATGCCCCTCTATTCTTCGGCCGCCCAACGTCATTTTCTTGCACGTGACAAGCCCGTTCTGCAGTGTTGTGCCGATGATCGCCACGGTGGCGTCAAAGTAGTGAACTATCATAGAAAAGTGCTCCGAACTGGTTTCTTTTACTTTCTCAATTCTCGATTAGGATCAAAAACTAACTGCTACCGATAAAATCTTCACTTTTCAATGGGATTTTAGTGACGAGTATCAAACTTCAGTCAACATAATCAAATTGGCTATCGTTCGGTTTATATATATTTCGAACAATTTCGGGCCGTAGACGATAATATATCCTCCGCAGTTTATGAGATGACATGTATCAACGCGGTTGATATTTCAGATGAGATGTACACGTATCACCTTCTATTGGCAATATGTGGAGATATCTGGAGACACCCCCAAAAGCTGAGATTACGGACATTGCTGCAATATCTGGGGCTAATGCCATCGCGGATGAGATGGGATATGACCTACCATGCTGTCTTCCAACTTTGGCAAGTTTTACTCGTTAGAGGCCAGGAACAAAGTTATGGAGTATGAGGGATGGCTTCCAACAAGATTGATATTCAGCTGTACATTAGACAGTTGAAAATTGTGTGGTCAATATGCGGATAAATGTAAACGTAGGGAGAAAGTGTGCAGTTATCAGCAGATACAGAGTATCCTATATATCCTATACTTGTCACCTACTCATGCAGAATGCTATTATTGACCGTCTCTCGCTGATAATCTCTGGCTTTCTCGAATGATCCTAACTCATACTTTTAATCCGCTTCAAACCGTCTGCCAAAGGGCGTATACTTAGATCCGGCACGTGATAGCATCGTACATGATGACTCAAATTGGACGTCAAGAAATCAACAAACAACCAAACAACCACACAACCACATAACCAAACATTGAAATAGACAGTTCACCACATCAGTCACAATGGCAGACCTTAAACCTCCGTTTACCGAAGAGACTGCTAGAAAGAAGGTCAAGGCAGCTCAGGCTCTCTGGAACACGCAGTAAGAATACACAATGAGCACATCCCAGCAATCGGCGGGTGTATATCATGGAATGCCGTTGTCACTCATACCCTCGCTCTGAGCCTTTGGTCCTCTCAAAGAAAATCTTTCATTTTTGTTTGATTGGTAGATAGCCATGATAGAAACTCAGCGCAAAGCATCTTATTGTCTCATCCCTTGCGCGAGCACACCATTCCCTCGTGGGTTCAAATCCCGGAGGAATTGACCTCAGCATTTCATGCCTCCCTTGATTCAATTTATGTCGTTGCACCGGTCGGTTCGAGCATAAGCGCTACATGCCCTATTGAGACTACTACCATTGCTGTAACTAATCACTAACGCCAATGTGCAGGGACCCGGTCCGAGTCGCTCAAGCCTACACGCCTACATGCATCTGGCGCAATCGCGACTCATTCTTCTCTGGCACAGAAGCGATTGTCACGTTCCTAACCCGCAAATGGAAGCGTGAACGCAGTTACCGACTCCGCAAGGAGCTCTTTGCTTTCACGGATGACCGTATTGCCGTGCAGTTCTGGTACGAGTATCAGGACGCAGAAGATGGGATGCGCTGGAAGCGCTGCTACGGCCTTGAGGATTGGACGTTTGAGCGGGAAACTGGCAAGATGCGCAAGAGAATGATGAGCGGGAATGACTTGGTACTTGGACCGGACGGGAACGGTGACGGCCGATGGTTCGTTGATGGAGTTGACGTCGATACTGTAGACATCGGCGAAGAGCATTGGTAGGCAGTTGAGACTCGACATAGGGCATTAAGAAAGTTCTAGCACGTTCTTCTGGCGTCTATTCTATATCGTAGTTCATGAGCTTATACTCTGTAGGCGAGGCGAACCTGGGGAACGGTTTGGCCCGAAACGGAATGTTGATATAGTTTGGAGGCCACATCCAGCCCACCGTCAATTAGAGTGACCTTCAAGCTGTTATCGAAGCGCATCTTGCTTCCATATCTAGCCAGATTCCAGAGCCTTGATCTCAAATCAATAGACGAAGAGCTTGCTATTTGTTATTGATATTGGAATGTTGAATGCGAGTACTTCTGTCCCTTGACCGCTAGCTTCGGAATGCCCCTCCCTTGTTGCAACAAGGCACAGGAGGATACCTCGACCTAGTCTCAGTATGCTAGGACAGCAATCACTGTAAATTTAAAAGGAGAAAACGGGAATGTGGGGTTTGTTCTGCTAAAGCAGGTTTGGGATTCTGGACCTGCGTGCCCGGATCGTTGAGAAGCCATGGGAGAATGTGCGGGATGTCCGTGTCTTATAGTCAGTCACTTCAGGCCCTCTGAATAGAGAGTCAATCGAGCTAGTAATTACAGCGCTTGTAATAGTTGCATGCTTGCTGGGTATTTGGAAGAAATACAAAACAAGAATAAGTAGGTGGAGGTTTAAGGGTCGTATTCTATCAATTCGTTCCTTGTCAGTCAGCGATATCATTGTGAAGACCAAGGGATGATAGAAGACTTGCAGGGTGAACTTGACCTTTCAATATTGCAAAGGATCGTGTGCAGAGGCTTCTTATATGCTCTAATTTAATTATCATTTCTTGAAGGGCTTTACCTTGTCGTGATGGTGTAATAGAGGGCTCGAGCATTCCTAATCGGCCAATGTAAATTAGTGGCCAGGGAGACTCCAGGAATTCGAGACAACAAACAGTAAACGATCGGCCAGAGGAATTCAACCGTGATATGGTATGTCAGTTTTCTACTAACGTGCGGCGTCTCCTTGTTGTGGCGTGGCCTTGGACTGTCTGTTTTGAGGTATGTTGTCAAGGAAAGTGACTGGAAGCTTGGATTTCTGTCGTTGTTGTACGCAGCTCCTCTATCGTACTCTTTCGTCACTTGGAGCAGCTCGAGTCCTGCTGCGACCTCGCACGATTCCTTCACTTGCGCCTCATCATCTCTTTTGAGCCTCGACACGCGGGAGATTCAACGCAACCAATACGGGAAAGAAGAAGGTACTAACACTCCGGCATTACGATTCGCAGTCGTCCACTCCAGAGCACTATATCTCTATTGTCTGTCGCTACAGCCTCGTCTTTACATCTCTCAGAAGGTAGCTCTCCCAACGAGCAGCAATATCCAGTCAACGCGTCCGATTCGGATGTTAGTCTGTGATACTCATGACTAGCTATATCGCAAGCCACAGTCGCTGACTAGTCATCGAAATCAGACCCAAACAGACTATAACATCGCAAGTAGCGGAGAGAATCTCCACATGTGGAATTGCAACAAGCCTGTCTCGCTTCATTAGCCCGGGCTTGCCTGGCGATGGATGGGATCACTGCCAGTCCTCAGTCATTCCGTCCTCCTCTGACGGATGCCACGCATAGACTGAACAACTGCGCTACTCCAAAGATTGAAAAAGGATCACATATCGAAGTAGAAGATCTGCTAAAAACACCAGACCGAATGTCTATCGTCACAAGCCCGTTGGCAAACAGAGAAAATGTGGGGGAAAACCGCGCCTCTCCAAACCCAAACTCTCAAGCCGGCTCGAAAAGGAACTCAGCAATCTCTACGACTTCTAATGTGTCTGGGAAGGGGAAGAGGAAAACACATGTTGGGCCATGGCAATTAGGAAAAACACTGGGGGAAGGGGCCACGGGCCGTGTAAGGTTGGCCAAACATGCAGTCACCGGCCAGACCGCAGCCATCAAGATTGTATCCAAGAGGTCTGCCGCAATTGCTCAGAGCGAAAGTATTGCAGCGATGGACCGCAATGCAAGCCTCTTTAGTGGTACAGGCACCAGACAAATGCCGTCCGGCATTGAGCGGGAGGTGGTCATCATGAAACTCATCGAGCATCCAAACGTGATCAGCCTGTACGACGTGTGGGAGAACCGGGGAGAACTGTAAGTCCAAGATCAAGCGTCTACTACTTGAAACTGACCTTTCGTCTCTAGATACCTGGTTCTAGAGTATGTCCAAGGCGGCGAGCTATTCCATTATGTACAAAATCACGGACCGTTACCGGAGGAAGAGGCAGTTCGGTTGTTTCGACAGATAATCGCAGGCCTTGGGTACTGCCACAGATTCAACATCTGTCATCGGGATTTGAAGCCAGAGAATATACTGTTGGACTCCTGGCGCAATGTCAAGCTTGCTGACTTCGGTATGGCTGCGCTTCAGCCAGCTGGACATTGGTTGAATACCTCCTGCGGAAGCCCGCATTATGCTGCGCCGGAGATCATTTATGGTCGAAAGTACCGTGGAGACAAGGCAGACATTTGGAGTTGCGGCATCATTCTGTATGCACTGCTGACGGGCTACTTGCCATTCGATGGCGGGGATCTTCCAAGTACTCTGCGACAAGTGAAGCGAGGCGAATATACTATTCCCCCCGAGTTGAGTGTCGAAGCGGCCGACCTCATTCAGCGCATCCTGCAAAAGAGACCAGAAGACCGCATAACGATGCATGGAATATGGATGCATCCACTTCTAAAGAAGTACGAACAGTTCCATCAGGCAATGTCACATCACTACCTCGGCCCTGCACCACCGTTAACGGCACAGGACTGCGGGCCACCAGTACTCAGCAGACAGGATATTGATATTGATATTCTGAGAAATCTGCAGACATTGTGGCATGGCGTCAAAACAGAGGCCCTGATAGAGCGAGTTCTGGATCCTCAGTGAGTATCCCATTTCCAATCGAGAGCTACGTCACGAAGAGCTGACCAGGCCTCTTGCCATAGGCCCACCCAGGAACGAATGTTTTACAATGCTCTGATCAAGTTCAGAAACGAGCAGCTAGAGAATTACCAGGGACAGCCTCTTGAGTATTCAGCCAGTGATTACCACCATATCTCTCGATTACCAGCTTCCGTTGCAAATAGACGCAAGCATGCCCGGGTGCAAGGTGGTTCTCGGAGACAAGGTCAAAATTCAACAACAACAAGCAGCAGCAAACAACCTCAAAGTACATCCAGAGCCCTCAAATTCTCAGCAACCGAGAAGAGTTATGACCCATTCAGGTCTCCACGCCATATAGTCGCCACTCCCGAAGTACAGTACGCTCAGGTTACCATTCACCGGAACGGTCCTGAAGCAAATACCAAAGAAGTGTCGGAAGCTGTTCCGGAATTAGACGATGATATGAAAGAAGAAGAAGTTGAGGATATAGAGTGTCTCCCAAGCTCCCCTTTTTCCATAGTGCCCAACAAGAAGTCCAAGGCCAGCTTCACTAGGTCTTTTCAGTCAAGGGCTTCCCACTCATCTGCTCGCCGGGTTACAAATACAACACCTACACCTCGCTCTGCCAGCTATAAGCGGAACGTTCTATTTCTTCACCACCGGAATCGCTCACAAGCATCAATGTCTGCAAGACCGAAGAAGGCACGAGCAAATGCTTCCAGCATTAGCAGGCAAGAAAGCGACTGCAGCATAAAGTCTGACGTGGACGGCGTCCCCTTCTCAGACCGTTGTGGCAGTCCTTTGCTGCCGGTACCACCTATAGTAGTTAGAGGAGCTGGGGTTACTATTAAAAACTGCCCTCAAGTCAAGAGAGTTTGCGACGCGGACATTATCTGGAGAGACGAAGCGCGCAAGGTCTCTCATGAACTCAGCCAGATATGTGAAGAGGCTTTCAATGGCGGATCCTTATCAACAGGGTGTACGGCAAGCATTGGATCAGAGACACCGGCGACTTCTCTTTCCATGGTCAGTGCTGGAGACTCGCAAAATCAAACTACAGGAAGCAACATCAAATCGAACCAGCCATCCAACAGATCACGAGAACCACCCAACACCTATACTGCGACAGAGCTGACCGAGACTCGTCGCAAGCTAATACAGCACTCAACCCAGGACGGCACTGAGAATGTTCCAGGCTATCTATCCGCTGTTATCAATCACCTCGATCGTCTCATTGCGCAGGACAGGATAAGGGAGCGTGGAAAGCGAGACAAGTCTAAGGACAACGGCAACTCTACATACGATTTTCTTCAGAGGTCTTCACTTGATACTGGTAACCTTCCGATCATTTCGGAAGAACTCAGCAACTCCCTGGCTGAGAGTGAGATGAGAAACGGCCAAGACGTAACAAGGCACAATTCGGATTCCGCCAGTTCTATCCGGACGAAACGTCAAAGCGGTGATGGGAAAGCCACAATCAGAATGGTTCCTCATAGTTCTCAACAGTGCTTGGAGGAGATTAGGCCATTGAATATCCGGAAGAAGAGACAATCCTCGAACGAGTCTCCTCAACCACGCGAGGATAGTAAATCCAAGGATGAAACCGGCAGACCGATTCGCTCTTCGCAGCGCTATGCGTCTGCCGACTCTCGTCAGACTCGTTTCCTCTCAGAATTGGACCCAATTCAAGAAGTGCCCAAGTTGACCGGCATGTCCGACACAAAAACGCCCGAGAACAAGAAATGGTCTTGGTTTCGGAACAGATCGCATGGGTCTACTGAGCCTAAAACGAAGACGCCTCCTGTCAAACCAATACACCCGAGCTCTGCCACAGTAATTGTCCACGAGATCGATCCTTCAGTTGACTCTGGACCAGGTGAGCAGACTGAAAAGCCCAAGGACACGAAAGGCCCTACCGACAACAAGAAGGGTGGCTTTTTCAAGAAATTTATGAAGAAGAAACACAACGACAACTTTGATAATGGTACAACAGGTAGGCTTCCCTACCTTTGGGCCTCAACAATTACTCCAGCTGACTATTATCTTCAGAAGTCGACTTTGCAGACACTAACCCCCTGCTCAAGCGACCAGCGGAAACCGAACACTCTTTTGACACCGACAAGAACCAGAAGCCTGCACCCGCTAGGCCAAACACCAACGGAAAGAGTCATAACTGGTTCGCGCGGGTCTTCCAGATCAAGCCAGCAACAAGAGTAGTTGCTCTCAACACATCGAAGCTCAAAGGTCGAAAGGACGTTTTGAAGCTACTGCGGGAATGGAAACAGTTTGGTATGGAGGAGGCGCACTTGGACAAAGCCAACGGTGTCATTCGTGCCAAAGTGGGCGAAGTGAACTGTAAGTGAGAACCTGGATGATTCTTGTGATTGTTCTAACCCTTCAAGGTCTCCGTCTTCGAGCTGTTGACTTCTCCGCCGAGTTTTACACTGTCCTCGAGCACGGCCGACAGGCCAACCTCAGTCTTGTGCGCTTCAGGCAAGAAAGAGGCGCAGCGTCATCCTTCCACAAGGTCGTCGACACTCTGGAGATGGTGCTGAAACAGCGAGGCTTACTCGTCGAGGATCCAGATCGTGCGAAGAAGATGGCACGAATCCTTGACGCTTTTCCCAATGGTTAATCTAGCATATCTGGCTGCCATTTCCGTTCCTACGGCGCATAGTGGTTTGATCACTCGCATTATACATCTCTGTATCTTGAGCGGCTTTCCTTGGTTTCTGCCACTCTTTGGAATTTCTCTATCTGTTGCAAAATCAGCCATAGGCATTCTGCAATCACATCCACTTTCTTATGTTTGGCTGTCAATGTGTCATTTAGCTTCATCTTGTCATGTTACTCCAGGAAATACAACACGATCATCCACCTACATCCTTGCTACTAATCATCACGCATGCATTCTCATACGTCTGTAGAATAATTTGGTGCTATGCTGCACCTTATCTTGATATAGAAAGCAAGCCTCATGGTGACTACCGTTCATGGCTGCATCTCCAAATGCTCCCGACAGTCCCCTTTACATACTGACTGGTGAGTAGACCGCCATCATAAACTGGTATCTTGCCCGGCTGCGCCCTTAGACACCTATCACTCATTAAAAATGACGAGTTCAGCTCTACGGTGAGCCAAAAAAGCTCGTTGATCTCAACTCGCATAAACCAAAAATAACCTTCTTTTCTGTGCCCAGGTGCAAACTCAGGATCAATCATGAGAATGAATCCTTTCCCTGGCCCACCTCCATGCCTGCTCTCTTCTGGATCCTCAAAAGCACGCATGATCGAATCCAGGCAATGCTGATCAATGACCAGACAGACTGCATACCGCGGAACAACGTCCCCAATCTCAGCACCCCGAGACGCAACAAGGTCTTTGAAATCCCTCCGGATCTGCTCGATTGATGCACCGTCCCAGCGTTCCTTGTCCTCAAGGACAATATTTTTGTATGACTCATGGACAAGCTTCTCAGGGAAGCCAAGATCCTGGTCGTCGGCCTCAGAATACCGGTCACCATCAACGCGGTCAATTTCCCAGTGGACATAGCGGTCGAGTTTCTCCAGACAGGCAGACCAGACCTGATCAGACTCGGGGGTGTAGACTGTGCGGTAGATGAAGTAGCCCCAGGGCCAGCATTTGCCGTAAGCGCGACGGAGTAGTCGCATAGAGGAGCGTTGCTTATTTTTGAACCAGGGCTGCTGACGCCAGCGCTTGTAACGCTCCGTGTCACTACCTGTGAATTCAAGGTGTGACCAAGGTGTTGGCCAGGAGGGGTCATGGAAGAAAATATTGACAGGATCTTCGTCTCCAGAGTCTTCTGGTTGGGCTGGTTGGGTCATTATGATATGAGAGTTGTATGTGATGGAATCGTAAGCTGTAAAAGGCGTTATACAAGAAGACCAGGCAGCCAATGGCATAACTGAAGCAAAACAGGTGAGCAAAAAACATACAACAGCCGGGATTCGCTGGTGGTCACCCACCCAACTACTAACCGGCCGGCGTGTGGCTTAAGTACGGCTGAGCGGACGGGAAGCCCTGTTTTCCACACCCTATGGTCGTATGTACTAGGACTCTTCTAGTTGAGGTCCATATAGGTGCTTGGCAAACACATTGTGAAGCATTTTGATGAACGGATTTGGTTATCCATTCTATGTCTTTCAGGTCCAAGTATCCGGCAGTCGAGGAGACTCATGTCTTTGTTCGACTTGTTGTTTCTGTACTGCTGGGCAGCTCACTTCATTTCCTCATGGACTTTGTTTATTGAGGGCCTCGAACTGCACCGCTGGCAGAACCCCTTGCGAGGTATAGCCTTGCAGTCAATGAGTGCATGGGCTCTGTCTGGCTCCTCGCACCCGCAGAGCTCCATCTGTGCGAGCCTCGAGCTCATTAGACCTGAACCGCGCCATTGATCGGTAACTGCTGGCTAACAATTGTCCGTGTACTTCAGGTATCTTCAGGCAGATAGCCAGGAGCCGGTCATCAATGGCAAAATCAACAATTTCCTCGTCTGTCGTGGGTATGATGCTCCACCCATGGACATAGTCTGGGCAACAAGTCTGTGTCATTAGGATGTTTGTTAATTAAATAGGAAAAGTGAATGTAATCAATTCTTACTCAAGACCTATCAAGAGAAGAAATAATGTGTAAATGAATGGGAGGAGGTGGGAGGATCGAAGGCGGTGGTGGGTGACATGGAAGATTGAAGCCCAATGCTAAGTGCTAACTACAGCAGACTACGTGCTAACGCCTGAGGCAGGTATCTGACGTGCCTAGGTTAGCAACGGGCCGTTACCGACTCGGGCTGCCTCGGCCACTACCGTGGAGTGGGGCCTTGCGGCTTTAAAGCTTGGAGGAGCTGTAATTACATATGTGCTGGGATCCCTGTATTTGAGATCCATACTGGGTTAACATCGCATTACTTGAAGCATTGGTCGACTGAATATCATTCCGACTGGAGCGAACAGCGTCAGATGAACTCCGGTACACAGACATCGACTTTAGCGTAGGGGACTGTCCTGCGGCCGGGAGCTGGTTCTATTGTTTATACTGTGAGCCTATGCGAAGCTTCGCTATTTTTGCCGGCTAGGGGCAAGTGGTTCTGTGGCGGGTGGATCTTTCCTTCAGGAAATATCAAGTTTGACTATGAATAGGTACCCCGACGGCACGATTGCTCGGCCCAGTCAGTAAAGGTTCTAAGCTAGAGCAGTCAGTCAAGGCCGAGAACAGCTCCAAAAACAGATATGACCATTCAAAAGGACTGGCACGCACGATACTACCGTGAACAATGCCAAATTGCACAAAGATATCAAACACTAAACATGTTACAGATTTGCAATATAAAGTGATCAGACAGCCACCCAGATATGAAGCAGATAGAACAAAAAGGAAATACAAATAGTTCAAAAAGCCGACCACCGTTTTTGCAGTTGAAACACTTGAGTACCTCCGAGAAAGAAAACGAAAGGACGAACGCAACGTTTGACAGGAACACAAAAGACAGACAGCCACCCGAAATGTCATGAACACTGGATAATCACAAAAGCCGCCAACACTCGTCGCTGCATAGGGAGAAACGCAGAAGGAAATATTAAAATGCGAAATCAACAGGTCGATGCAGCGCAATGCTAACCACTCAATGTCAATAGAGCACGCGTCAAAGAACGCTTCCATAGACACACCCCAGTGGACCCGAGCGTCAAGAGGGGCGGAGTCATGAGAAGACATGCCAGCGCAGAGCAATATGAGACAAACCGCTGGGTCATGCAATTTCTCACAGTTACCGAACCTGCGCCTGAAAACGGAAACCAGCGAGAAGAGGGATCATTAACATGACGATGCATCAAGGCAGAAAACAAGAGGAAAACGAAGCCGAAGGAAACATCCATTAGTGGGTCGCCCCTGTGGTTTATAAAGCGGCGGTGCTCGTGGAAAGACGGTGTTTGATAAGTTAGAGAAGTCGAAGAATGTGACATCACCGACTTTCTCAGTAGAAGCAGCTGTCAAGAGAAAAGCCTCCGGCAGAAGACAGTCATGACCCTCAATCCCAATGTCTAATTCGTGGAATTCATAACACTCTTGATTCTCGTTTCCATGGACTCGTTTCAAGTCGCGATTTTGATCATGGCATTGCTGTGGCCACGTCTCCTCATTCACTCTCTTCGATTAAGAAGCCTCCTCTTTCTCAAACTCACCATTTCACGCTCTTGCCGCGTGTAAATATTTCTTGTCCACCCCCCAATTCAACTTGCCTTCTCCGCCTCGGTAAATAACTCAAGCAGTATGTTCGCCGATTTCCTTTATTCCTTGGGGCCCGTTGTCTCAGGAGCATCACCAAAAAAACAACGTGCCACGGAGCATTTCCAGAAGTTTCGGAACGTAACGTGTTCGGCCCATAAGTAACCCCCTCTTCTAGATCAACTGAAGATCGATGCAGCCCCAAACGACAAAAGGAAGATCCATCTATGCGCATCATGTGAAATCGATGTGACCAGCACTAAATCCTCCTCGTGAACAGACATCAAAATGGTATCAATTTTATCCGGTCTATGCGAACCTCCGGACCTTGTCAACCAACCCCTCGAGAATTGAAGACATACGGCCAGTAGGTTTTATATCTCCGTTCCGGATTGAGTGCTTTACTGGTTGAGGCCCCGACGGTTCAGCGCATTTAGCATATCGCTATCGGTGCTGGAACGACCCTGGCTGTCACCGGGGTTCAACATATCACGAACATTCAGACCACCTCGAGACGAACTGACCGAACCTCCAGGAGTTGAGGTTGGTGGAGGAGTCATCGCAGTGGGAGCGGTGTGCAGAGGAGGATATGGGGAGCTGTGGGGGGAAGAGGAGTGACGGCTATCGTACGGGTAGGCAGATTGCGGCGAGGGACGCCGATCATGCTGCGGCGGAGGGGGGTAGTAAGGACTGGGAGCGGCGTGCGCCTGATAGGCAGGCGCTGATGTTGCTGGGGTTACCGGCGCAAGGTTGGTCGGGTCAGGATACTCGAAACCGGAGCCAGAGCCGCGTCGGCCGGTAGGTCTCTGTAAGATATTATTAGCGTCCCGAGTCTTCGAGCTTCAAACGGAAATATGGGAACTACTTTGCAACTTACGTGATCTGCGGGCACAGCGGATGCAAGGGGTGGCGGTGCGGTTCCGTATGGATGTTGGTACATTCCTTGAGGCGGCGGAAGGGTAGTATCAGCAGGGGGCTGAGGCTGCTGCTGAGGCGGCAAAGGCTGACCGTGGGCACCATAGAGCATCACTGGAGGACCAGCGCGGCCGTTTTGAGGGTTTCTGAGATGAGGATAGGCAGCGTGTGCCGGTACAAATGCCTGTGCCTGGGACGAAACCGGAGTGAACATACACTCTTGGTTAAAACGGATACAGTTGCTGCAGCGCCCATCCTGAGAACTTTCAAAACCCGAGCATCGAATCTGTTAGAATAAGAAAACGACTGTCAGCAAGGCTCTGTGAAGTGGGAACCGAATGTGCCAGCAAATTCTCCTCGGGCAATGAACGCACCTTGCGTCTGCGGCAGTAACGACAGGCTATAGCGGTCCGCTGTCTAGGAGCCGCGGCTTGGTATACAACTTGAGGCTGCGGTGGAGGAGCTGGCTGAGCGTAGACATCCGGAGGGCGGTAGGCGCCAGGAGGAGGAGGGAGCCTGTAAGGATCCTGGGCACCTTGCACATGAGGGTGGATGGTGGCCATGTGGGAGGTAGGCGGGTACTGTGACGGGGGTGGTGGTGGATGCGGATACGGGTGGTCTGCGGTTAGAGGAGGAGGATAGGAGGCCGGAGGATACTGAAGCGGTCAGTTTTGATTACCAAGAAAGAGCTTTCGTCGAGCTCGGTTGCTCAATGGGAGTATATGTTAACAGGAACGGGAAACGGCAAAGCTCTTAGTGGCAAGTCGTCTGGCCAAGAATGCAGCTAAATAGTGCAACGAAAGCGACGGGGAAGGAAAGGCCGAAATATATAAAACTCACAGGGTATTGAGATGCTGGCGGATAGTTAGCTGGAGCAGGATTATCCTCAGGCTGACTAGAGTTCCACTGGGGAGGCGGTGGATACTGTCCCTGTCGATTAGGGTCGCCAAATTCGTGGGGGTTGGTGGACATTTGTAGACGAGGACGAGGCGAGGCTGCTTAAGAGAGCGGGAAAAGGACGGGGAAAGGGCTGAGAATAAGAGGCGAATGCAGGATGATGTGAGTCGCAAGTCACGCCCAATGCTGTTGTTTGGTCAACTTGTCAAGGAAAGACAGCGCAGGGGTCTTGGTGACGGTGCGTGTGCCCGGTCGTACGTATGAGCGAGTATGTATCGGTAAAATGTATGTATGCAGCCCGTATGTATGTGTATCTGTATGTACGTATGTCTGTCTTTGCGTGTGTGGATTCGTAAATGCGGAAGATGACCAGGATAATGACGGGAAAAAGAAAGAAAAAAGGAAAGCGGAAAAAAATAAACGAAAAAAAGAAATGCGGAGTCGAAGTTCTGGTCACAGTACAAGCAGGTTACGACCAAATCAGAAGAGTTCCAGTTTCCGTCGGGTGATTTGCAAAGCTAGCATAGCCTCGTGGTCACGCTGAAGCCGGAGAGGCGAATGAGTGAAGGAAAACCAATCCGTCAAGGAAAGACTTAAAGACAGGGAGAAAGCCGACGGAAATACTAGGGCGGGGCGAAGAGGAGAATACCTATCCTCTTTGCAAGCCGAGAACCCTGGAGTAAGTATAGATAGAAAGATAATCGAATGGTTGAAGAAGAGGAGCGAAACGGGGAAGTAAGAAGAAAGCACAATGGGAAAGAAAAGAGATAGAAAAGATGAGAAGAGGATTGAA